TTTCCCAAAAGAACAGGGCCGTAATAGTTCTACTCAGCCACCTTTGTGTGTGTGAAAAATTAAATTATTATTATTATCATGTAACACATAAGGTTTTGAAAAAAACTATCTTGCCTGGTGCTTTTCTCTGCGAGTTTTATAGCTTCCTCATTCTGCTCCAACATAGCCTTTTCATTCTTCAAAAACAGCCAGAAAAAGTGACCAATTTCAGATTTGATTTATCTTATGTTTTTTTTTTGATAGATCCTATCGGCTTCCGGTCAGCCCCGGTAGAAACACACCGATGTGCTCCAAAGTGGACTCTTCCCGTGGTTCAACGGTTCAACGGACACAAGTCATGAGATCCAAATTTGGGCTACCACCCTGCCTGTCCCGAGGTTGGAGTGCTTTTCGACTAATGTCAAGGGGTAATCAGGCCTCCTGCATCTGATTACCATGTAAACCACTTGGGCCAACTGATAGACTTCCTACACAAATGTGTTTTTTTTTTTTTAATTTATATAGAATGAAAAATCACCATTTCAAGTCTGGATTTTCCCATGACATCTTTATTTTTGTTTGTGATCTTTCTTTCACGCTCATCTAGGTTCTTCCTCTCTGCCTCAAGCTCTTTCATAGAGTTTTCATGCGCTTGTATAATATTCCTACACAACTCTATCACATTCACGTCCATCTTTTGAATTTCTTCTCATCAAGAAGAAACACAAAACAAGTGAGCAAGAAATTAAACATAAAAGATTATATTCTTTTAAAGTTTTTTTTTCTCACCTTCTATGTAGGTTCTATGTTGCTGAAGGTTGGGCAATTTCATACCCTCCAAAACAAGAGAAGCCTCATTATGCTCGTGTTCGAGCACTTGCTTGCATTTCTCATTCCTCTCAATGGATTGAGACATGTTATCGATGAGCTGATTCATTCTCCTCTTCTCTACTTCTTCATTATGTGAGATACTTTTCAAATCTCATCTCACTGGTGGGTTAAGCCTTTCACTAATTGGAATTAGAAATGAGCTTTTCTAACGATAAATCAACTAAAAAAATAAAACATTTTACATAACTAATAATTGCAGTTCCTGAAAATAGACAAAATCCCTAAAAAATCTATATTTTTTCACTAGAATGAACAAAAACACAAACACTTTTCGATTTTATACAACACATGAAGGATATAAAAATATTGAAGATTTTTTTTAGAAAAATTGAAATTATTTACCTCCACTAGAACGAACAAAAACACAAACCCTCCACTCAAGAGGTTTCTCCATCACTTCGATACACATGCGTTTCAACGCGCCAAAAGCTTCTAGCCATCCTTTCTTCACCTTCTTATAGATCCAAGACGGCTTGTCTGAAACAGAGACAAGAACTGACGACAACTCTTTGCTCTTCTCAACCGAGGATGTGTGACTCTGTTTCGTGACTGTTTGACTAAACTTTTGCAGTCTTTAGATTCAGAGACAGAGGAAAAGAAAGAGAAGATTAGCTGTTTGATCCATGATTCTGGATGGATCTTCACAGAATCTGTAGCCAAGAGTTTGAAACTCCCTAGATTGGTTCTTAATGGGTTCATTTTTTTCTTGTGAAGAGTATCTTCTGCTGCAAGGTACTGTTATTTCTAACTTTACTATTTATGTTGAGCAAAAACCAAAGAAAAAATTATATTGAGCCATCAATAAAAAAGCAGGATTGAAAAGTCTAACATATTGATATTTATTGATTTTAGTTATCTTATTTTTAATTATTATTTTGGTTTTCAATTTAATTTTAATACATGTTCTTAATACATTAGAAACTCTATAGGTTACAGAGGTTATTTAAGAGATTGATGGACCACTAATAGTTGGCGGGGACTTCAATACCATCGTAAGAGTGGATGAAAGAGCCGGTGGAAATGGGAGATTGTCGCCGGACTCGATGGCTTTTGGGGAGTGGATTCAAGATCTGTCACTGATAGATATGGGCTTCCATGGAAATCGCTACACTTGGAAGAGGGGCCGATTCGAAAGCACTTTCATAGCAAAACGGTTGGATCGGGTCTTATGATGTGCCCACGCCAGACTAAAATGGCAGGAAGCAAAGGTAACGCATCTTCCGTTCTTGGCTTCCGATCATGCCCCATTATATGTCCAACTATCTCCGACCGTGAGAGGAAACGCAAAGAGGAGACCCTTTCGTTTCGAGGCGGCGTGGTTGAAGCATGAGGGTTTTCAACAGCTGTTGACGGCTTCGTGGCGAGGGGAGAGAAGCACGCCTCAGGCCTTGGACTCACTCAGGATGACTCTGAAGAAGTGGAACCGTGAGGTGTTTGGGGATGTACAGAGAAGGAAGGAGAAGCTACTAAGTGAGATACAACATGTGCAGGACTCCCTGGAGAATAACCAATCAGACTCTTTACTAGCAAGAGAGGAGAGGCTGCTTAAAGAGTTTGACGTTATTCTGGAGCAAGAAGAGTTGATATGGTTCCAGAAATCGAGGGAGAAGTACATAGCGCTGGGGGACAGGAACACATCTTACTTTCATACGTCAACGGTTATCCGGAGACGCCGAAACCGTATCGAGATGCTCAGGAACGACGAGGAGATTTGAGTTACAGAGAAGGAACTCGAGACCCTTGCTGTCCGATATTACAAGCGACTGTACTCTTTACAGGATGTGGAGGCTTATGTGGAGAGGTTATCGTTGCCAGGCTTTACAAGACTTACACGAGAGGAGCAGGTAAATCTTGATAAGCCGTTTGTGCCAATGGTGGTGGAGGAAGCAATACGAAAGATGGGGAGGTACAAGGCACCGGGACCTGATGGGTTTCAAATCCAGAGTTGCTGGATGTGGTGAAAGAATCGGTGGTTCGTTTTGTGTTGGAGTTCTTTGAATCAGGCATACTTCCGCAGGATACAAATGATGCTCTCCTAGTGCTTATTGGTAAGGTCTCTAAACCGGAAAAGATTACCCAGTTTTGACCGATAAGTCTGTGTAACGTCCTGTTCAAGACTATCACCAAAGTTATGGTGAATCGACTGAAAAGAGTGATAGCAAAGCTGATTGGCCCAGCCCAAGCGAGCTTTATTCCTGGAAGAGTCAGTACAGATAACATTGTGGTGCTACAGGAAGCAGTACACTCGATGAGACGTAAGAAAGGGAAGAGAGGTTGGATGCTGTTGAAACTCGATTTGGAGAAGGCATATGATCGAATTCGTTGGGAATTTCTGGAAGATACTCTCATCGCAGCTGGTTTATCAGAGAAATGGGTCAGATGGATTCTTCAGTGTGTCACAGGTCCATCTATGCACGTGTTGTGGAATGGGGAAAAAACAGAAGCTTTTAAGCCGGAACGTGGACTTAGACAGGGATATCCTCTCTCTCCCTATCTTTTTGTCCTATGTATGGAAAGACTTTGCCATCTGGTGGAAAATGCAATTGGGGAAGGCAAGTGGAAACCAATTAGTTTATCAAGAGGAGGACCAAAGCTATCCCACATGTGCTTTGCTGATGACTTAATACTGTTTGCGGAAGCGTCTGTGAGTCAGATCAGGGTCATAAGAGGTGTTTTGGAACGCTTTTGCTTGGCTTCTGGGCAGAAAGTGAGCCTTGAGAAGTCAAAAATATACTTCTCTGCCAATGTAGCCCGGGAACTGAGAGATGAGATTAGTGGAGCCAGTGGTATTCAACCAACTTGCGACCTGGGGAAGTATTTGGGAATGCCGGTGTTACATAAGAGGTTAAATAAAGAGACCTTTGGTGAAGTTGTGGCGCGCGTGTCTGCGCGCATGGCGGGTTGGAAAGGACGTGTTCTAAGTATGGCTGGGAGACTTACACTGACAAAGGCAGTCATCTCATCCATCCCTGTGCATTCAATGAGCACCATACTACTCCCAAAGTCGACCCTAGCTAAGCTGGACCAGCTAACAAGGTCTTTCTTGTGGGGGAGCGATGGCGAGAACAAAAAGCAACACCTAGTAGCTTGGCAGAGAGTGTGTTTGCCGAAGCGAGATGGAGGACTAGGGATTCGCTCGGCTGCTGAGATGAACAAAGCTATGATCGCGAAGGTTGGTTGGCGTTTGCTGCAGGACCAGAACAGCTTATGGGGGGGTGTACTAAGAAGCAAATACAAGATTGGGGACCTCTCGGAGAGAGGTTGGATCGTTACCAAACCTTATTGGTCTGCTACTTGGAAGAGCATTTTGAGTGGGATGCGTGAAGTGGTTTTCCAGGGCTTAGGATGGGTCGCTGGAGATGGAAATTCGATTAAGTTTTGGACTGACCGATGGCTCTCGGATACTCCCCTGATAAATACGAATGTGATAGCACTTCCGGAGGCCATGAAGGAGTTGACAGCTCGGCAACTCTGGGGGGATGATACAGAGTGGAGATGGGATCAGATTACCCCTTTTGTCTCGGAGGATACGCGACTGCGGCTACTTTCTGTGGTTCTGAATACCATTGCAGGGAATAAGGATACACTCTCCTGGACAGCAAGCCCGAATGGTGAATTCACGGTGCGCTCTGCATATGAGCTATTGACAAGGAACTTGGCTCCGCGTCAGAATATGGAGTCTTTTTTCGATCGGATATGGCGTGTGGCAGCTCCTGAACGGGTGAGACTTTTTCTTTGGCTCGTGGGAAACCAATGTCTCATGACAAATGCGGAACGGAAACGACGACATATATGTGACTCTGATGTCTGCCATGTGTGCAAGGGAAGAGTGGAAACTATTCTACACATTCTGCGAGATTGCCCTGCTATGATGGGCATTTGGACTCGTTTGGTCCAGCCTAGGAAGCAGCGAGAGTTTATGGAGAAGCCTGTTTTGTCATGGCTATATGCAAACTTGGGAGATGACAGCTTGGTGGAGATGGTACCATGGTCAACTCTATTTTCTATGGCTGCATGGTGGGGATGGAAATGGCGGTGTGGTAACATATTTGGTACAAATGGGAAGTGCCGCGATCGTGTGCGATTCCTTAAGGACCTAACGAAAGAGGTCACGTCGGCCACATCAGCTTGCCAGACTCAGAACACGGCGAGGCCTCGAACCGAGGTGATGATAAGTTGGAAGAAGCCGGTGGACGGATGGATGAAGCTTAATACAGACGGGGCCTCGCGTGGGAACCCAGGCTCCGCCGCAGCAGGAGGAGTCCTTCGAAACAACGTTGGTGAATGGTGTGGTGGTTTTGCATTGAATATAGGTGTCTGTTCAGCGCCTATGGCAGAATTGTGGGGTGTTTACTATGGCCTCTACATTGCTTGGGAGAAACAGGTTTCACAAGTGGAGGTTGACATTGATTCGGAGTTGGTGGTCGGCTTTCTCAAGAATGGGATTGGAGAGGCACACCCACTTTCCTTCCTGGTACGTTTGTGCCATGGCTTCATTACAAAGGACTGGACTGTCCGTTTTACTCACGTGTATAGGGAGGCTAATCGTCTAGCCGATGGATTAGCTAACTATGCATTTTCTCTCCCTTTTGGTTTTCATGATTTGCCTTTAGCCCCGGCTAGTTTGGAATCAATCCTACAAGATGATGTACTAGGATATGAGCTTCCAAGAGATGTTATTGTTGTTTAAGTTCACTGTCTTTTATTAATAAAAGTGGGAGATTTTATCTCCCACATCACTCACCAAAAAAAAAGAAACTCTATAAATTAATACTCGCTAAACTAATAATCACGATTAATTAATAAAATCTTCCGGTACCAATTCAGGCTAGTGTTAAATATGACACAATTCGATAAGATAATAAGATCATATTTGTTTTCAAAATTTCTAGGTAAAACATGGTCCTAATAATTCTAATCATACTTTATATTTTCCTTTTTTTATAATTTATCAAATTAGGGGGAAATATTTAATTATGTTGAAAATCTGATTGATTGACACTTTTTTTTTCTTTGGTAAAAAGGTTTACTATCTGACTGATTCACATGTGAAATCTTAACCAATATCGATTGTTCCATTTCTTTGAATTAGATTTACCTTCTAGTCATATGATTTTAAAATTTTTTTTTTATCACAATTCGTTAACAGATTCCGAAAAAGATGATCTAGCTCAGGAGTTTCCGCCACTTCGAAAGAAGACATTTTACGGATTCTTGGTGAAAAAAGGGAGCTACTAGAGCCATACTTGAATACTATGTCCATGTCCATTTTACATATCCATGTCCTGTGAAGAGTTGGAGCAAGACTCATTGAGTCAGGCACGTGAAGATTTCAAGATTCCTATGTTTGCGATAGGTCCTTCTCATAGCAACTTTCCAGCCTCGTCTAGTAGCTTGTCACACAGGACGAGACTTGCATTCCATGGTTAGACAAACAACAAGACAAATCCGTTATTTAGGTGAGTTTCGGTAGCCTCGCGAAAATGAGCGTAAGAGAGTTAACTGAGATTGCTTGGGGCTTAAGTAACAGTGACCAACCTTTCTTATTGGTCGTACGAGTTGGTTTGGTCAATGGCACAATCCCACAAGAACTCTTAGAGAGGCTTAACGAGAAAGGAAAGATAGTGAAATGGGCACCACAACAAGAGGTTCTAAAGCATCGAGCCGTGGAAGGATTCTTGACACACAATAATTTATAGAGGAAGGGAGAAAGATCTAGTCTATGTAATTACAGAAAGTTCCTAAAACAGAGCAAGGTAATATCACGTCATTAAGAGAGAACGAGATTGTATCCTTGATCATATCTCGTGGTGTTGACCATATCTCTAACACGCCCCCTCAAGATGGAGAGTCGGATGTCACTCCAATCTTGTTTCTAAGTTCCAGGAACCTTGCACGTGGGAGTGGCTTTGTTAGTGCATCCGCAAATTGGTCTTTAGTGTTAACATGAGCCACCCGAAGAGCACCATCTTGAATGTGACCACGCAGAAAGTGGTAATCCAGAGCTATGTGTTTCATCCGGGAATGAAACACGGGATTGGCACATAAGAAAGTAGCACCCACGTTGTCACAATAAACTGTTGGTGGTGAAGGAACACCAAGCTCCGTAAGAATATTACAAATCCAGCGTATCTCGGCGACTGTATTTGCCACGGCACGGTATTCTGCTTCTGTGGAAGAGCGAGACACACCTTTTTGTTTCTTTGCAGTCCACGATATGGGATGATTGCCAAGATAAACCACATAAGCATTAGTGGAGACATAGTCATGTGAATCACCTCCCCAATCTGCATCTGAATATGCATGAAGAGTGAGTTGATTGTTAGAGGAGAAGAAGATACCATGACTTGGCGTGCGTGCAAGATATCGGAGAATGCGTTTAGCCGCTTGCCAGTGGTCTTCAGTTGGACAATGCATGAATTGAGAGAGTTTATTGACAGCAAAGGCTATGTCAAGGCGGGTGAACTGAAGGTATTGGAGACTTCCCACCAGTTGGCGATATTGCTTGGGATCAGACAACGGTTTTCCAGAGGTAAGAGTTAATTTCGGAGATGATGCCATTGGAGTGGTGACTGGTTTCGCATTTGTCATATCATAGCGATGCAGGAGATCCAATATAAACTTCCGTTGAGCTAGGTGAAGACCAGATGACGTTCTGTGAGCTTCAAGACCAATAAAATAATGAAGATCTTCAGCATCTTTAACGGAGAAACGCTCAGCGAGAAGTTGTAGGACTCGTTGAATTCCACTTGTGCTACTGCCTAATCAAAATGTCATCGACATAGACTAGAAGATAGACAAAGGCAGTACCAACTTTGAGGACGAACAATGATGTATCGGCCAGAGAGTTGGTGAATCCAAGGCTGAGAAGAAAGTTACTAAGCTCGGTGTACCAAGCGCGAGGTGCTTGTTTCAAGCTGTATACCGCCTTGTTAAGTCGGCATACATAGTCGGGATGATTTGCATCTACGAAACCAGGTGGTTGTTCCATGTAGACTTCTTCCGTTAGAGTTCCTTGGAGGAAGGCGTTGTTGACGTCCAATTGTTGAAGAGGCCAAGATCGCGAGATGATATCACCATATTTTACATGATTTTACTATATATTTACCTATGTTTTCAAACGGTTTTTGCAAGATTCTTTGCCTTTAGAGGTAGTTTTCTTGTATTTGTGGGATTTGAAGTCTTTGTAGGTGAAATAATCAAAAAGGATGCAAAAAGGAGTAAAAGAGCCCTAAATCAAGATCCATGCAAGTTTCCAAGTCAAGAAGATCATTTTATCTCCAAGTGTTAGTTCTCGCTGCGCGCAGAACGAAGCTTCGGAAGTTTGGCCGCGCGCGGAGGAGTTCCCGACGTCCAAAAGTTACGATCTTGATATGGAAAGATAGATACTTGAGTCATGCATCACGTCGAAGTGGAATGAAGCCATTTGGATCAACTATGAGGCCTAGACTTATTTTCTACCGAGACATGTCCGGTAAGCGAGTAAACGAAGCCCATGGAGGATTTGGAGTGTCTAATGGCCCGAGCAGCAGCGCCAAAGGCCTTGATCGAATAGAGAAGAGGCCTGGCTAATGTTTGGAGCTTTCCTTGGTACAATGTCGGCCCATACACGACGTGGAGAAGAAGGCTTTGCTCGCGGGAAACTTTCCTTTTCCGGCATGAAGAAAACCCTACGCGACTTCGCCCATATATACATGTTTTTAGCCGCTGAAGAAGAGAGATCGAGTCCAGAAAATTATCAAAGAGTTACGTGTGAGAGAGAGAGAAGAGAAGAGAAGCCCTAGGAGATCGTCCAAGAAGAAGGAGGCGCCGCTCAACTCTTGTTCTTTCTTTTTCATTGTTTCCATTTCTATAAACTTGATCTTAAGAGTTTTCAAGGGAGAATCCGACTTTGTTCATCAATAGAGAAGCTTTCTTCATCCCTTTATCTCTTTTAATACTTGCATAATGTTTACAATCATGCTTTGCTTGCTTGTTTGCATCATGGCCGAGTAGATCTCTTAGTTAGGCCGAGGAGATCTATGGTGGCCGTGATGATTTGATTGTGTTGCAACTTATTGGGATTTATCTTATGGATCTTCACCTTTACTTGAGCTTAATGCATGATTACTCTACCGTACATCTAGTAATCTGATCTTAGAGAAATAGAACCACGACAGTGCTGAATCTAGATCTCAAAACTAGTATTTGGTGAGCAATAGATCATAGCCAACGAAAGCTGAGTTATGGTTTATTGTGAACAATTGAATCTTGAACCTTGTAATGCATGTTTGCAATTCTAATAGCCAACGAAAGCTGAGTATATTAGGTTGTTTTAAACATAGTGGTTGGAGCCACGACAGTGGAAAACCATACACTAGTGATTCATGTTCAAGACGGCTCTACACACATCCCATGCAACTATCTTTTCATCATTGCTCCATATGATTGTCCTTTGCCTAACTCTTGTTTTAAATTGTTTACAAACTCACTCACATTTCTTTTTTTTGTTTTCTCATTCTAGGTCCAAAACCACCTCATATTGCGAGCTAGCTACAAACCAATCTCACAAGGTGTTAAGTGAGAACACTTCCTCCTCGTGTTCGACCCCGACTACAACACGGCTGTGCACTTGCAGCTCATTAGTTGGGTTTATAAATTGTGAAAATTTGAGGCAATCTAAACCCGCCATCAAGCTTTCTGGCGCCGTTGCCGGGGAGGAGTTGCTTTTCCTTCACACCTCTTGATTGATTTCAAGACTAGCTCATCTCATCTTTCACTTTTCTTTGTTTTTGTTTTTCATAAAATCTTAAAAACTCATAAAAATTTTACTTAACTCTCTCTTTGTGTGTTTCTAAGGTGCATGACAAGAAGGTCCAATCCAAATACAACCATTGAAGAAGATCTTGACATTGACCAACTTGAGCGCACACTTAGGCGACTAAGGAGAGAAAGAATGAATCCAGGCGGAGAAGGCGCGCCAAATAGGCCACACAACCCGCCCGACCAAGAGAGGAGAGCCAATGATCCTCCTAATCCAGCAGAAGCTAGAGCTGACCAGCCAGCACCGGCCAGAGACGTTCCTCCACCCAATCCGAACGCGCCCGATGCAGCTGAGCCGCTACAGCCACCTCTTAACCCGCCGCGACCACCACCGGCGTTTGCAAATGGACATCATCGTCACGGTGACAACCAAGGGATGCCTCAAGACCAACCTCACGCACCTCCAAGGAGAGTGCCAAACGCGCAGCATCCAAGGCACCAAACTATGGGAGACTTTGATTCGTCCGATGCCTTTCTTTATGGATCGGAATCCAATCCGACCGCCTCTACCTCCAAGGAACGATTTTGAGATCAAACCGCAGATCATTGCCTTGGTGAAGCAAAACCAATTCCATGGTTTGCCCACTGAGCATCCTCTTGATCACGTCGACACCTTTGAGGAGATATGTAGCACAACTCGTGTTAATGGAGTATCGCCGGATTACTTCAAGTGCAAGCTATTCACTTTTTCTCTAAGTGACAAGGCGCTAAGATGGGTAAAATCTTTACCACCTCAGTCCATTACAACATGGAATGAATACAAGGGAGCTTTCTTGAACCAATTCTACACTAAGCAAAGATCCAACTCTATAAGGAGCAAGATTTCTGGTTTCAAGCAAGATTCAATGGAGTCATTCTATGAAGCTTTGGAGAGATTCAAGGAGTACACAAGAAGCTGCCCTAACCATGGCTTTTCAGAAGGTAACCTTTGGAACATCTTTTACAATGGGATTGATCATAAATACAAGCTTTCTCTCGATACCGCGAGCAATGGTAATTTCATGACCAAGTCGGTGCCGGAGGCAAAGCTTTTGATTGAGAATCTCGCTGCTAGTGATGCCAATGCATGCCCTGACTACAATAGAAGCGTGAAGACCACGAGCTCATCAGAATCAGCTCAAATCTCGGAGCTAAGGAACATGGTCTCACAACTACTTAAAAGCCGACAAGGAGTTCACGCCATTGAAGATGCCCTAGCCACAAATGAAGACACTCTTATGGATTTCATGAGAGATGGCGCTGAAGAGAATCTAGAGGAAGTCAACTACATTGGAGGAAACTATGGGAATAGAGGATTCAATCCACCATTTCGCGCGCATCCAAACCTATCATACCGGAGCAACAATGTGGAGAATCCAAATGACCAAGTCTACCCCAATCAAGGAGCGTATCAAGGAGGCCAATACCAATCCAAGCCACAACAAGTCTATCCAAGAGGGATGTACCAAGTGAAGCAACCATTCACTTTTTCTCAAGAAACAAATCCAACCCAAACCGGAGAGAAGGTTGACGTGGCGTTGAAGAAATACATGGAGGAGCAGAGATTGATCACCAAGAACCTATATGAGAAGCTTGATCACATGTTTGGTGATCTAAGCAGCAAGTTTGGGTCTCTCTCTACTCACGTTCAAAAGCTTGAGGTGCAAATCGCTCAAACAGCCGAGGCGGCCAAGAAACAAAATGAGGTAAACACTCAAAAATTTTGTAGTGTTGTCTCATCTATAGATGGCACAATTGTTCCTACACTATCTCAAGGGGAAGAAGAAGAAAATGAGCCTAAGGAGAGGCACAAACCGGAGAGATACAGTTGGGAATCAAGAAGAGCTTACAAGAGAAGACTTGAAGGCAAGCCACTACAAAAACAAGAAGATCCGGGGAAGTTTGTGATAACTTCAAGTATCAATGGCATTCAACTCCACGATTGCCTATGTGATACTGGTGCTAATGTTAATCTAATGTCTCTTGCACTTGCAAAAGATTTGGGATTCAAGGAATTCAAGAGCCCCAAGATAAGAGTCGAGTTCGCGGATCTATCGTGCATGGAACCTATGGAATGCTTGAAGATGTCATGATGGAAATAGGGGGTCGATCGGTCCCAACTGACTTTCAAGTCATGATTTGGGAAGGCTCAAAGAGGAATCAACTGATTCTTGGAACCCCATTCCTTGCTACAGCTGGAGCGGTCCTAAACTACTTTGGGAATCATCTATCTTTTGGCCACATCCGGCAAGATATCTTTTTCCCAAGTGTAAATTTCAGGTCAGTGCCAAGTGCGACCAAGCTACCACCAGAAGAAGCCACTCTCAGCCTAAGAAAGAAGCGTGATGCATGGAGAAAGAAGAGAGAGTGAGCGCTACCCAAAACCAAAGGAGAAGAAGAAAACATTGGAGCCGAGGCATGAAAATGTCTTTAAGGATATCAACTCCATCTTACTTCCAACCTTTGATGAATATGGAGCTGAAGAGGAGACTAATGGTGCACCTAATCTCTTTCACAAGATAAGAATCTTTACACCAAAAGATTCGGAGCTTAAAGGTGACCAATCCATTGAAGAGAAGCTTGAGAGAACTATGAAGCTTTTCCCCAAGGCATTGGTTTTCAAAGATGATGTGAGAGATGACTATGGCGCGACAACACCACCACAAGAATCCACTAACCGGAGAATGGAGAAGCTAAAGGGATCCTTTGCCCTTCAGCCACTCTTCACCACGATTGAAAGAAAGAAAAGGAGTCAAGCTAAATGACTTAAAACAAAAGCGCTTTATGGGAGGCAACCCATATGGTTTTTAACTATTATTTCTATTTTGCAGGAGTTTTTCAAAAATCAAACAAAAATACAAAAATATTTTCTTAGGATGAAGACCCAAAGGAGACCAAACAATGGAAGTGTCCCACCCAATGAGCCCACCCTTGTACAAGGCGTTTCTCTTCCAAAAGGTAAGTAAATTCTCACCTAGTATTCATTTCTAATCACTCTTGATCTTCACTTGAAAAATCGTTTAAACCATTGCACTTTATCAAATATATTTCATGGTTTAACTTGATTTACTTTTGATGATTGGAAAGAATACATAATCACTTGTCAAAACTCATTTTGCTCACTGAAATTACAAGAGATTGAACTATAGTTTGAAATTTGGATCATTAACCAAGACCAAATAAGAATTTATAGTTTGTGCTTTAATCTCTTGGATTGTGAACTTCAAGCTGGTCACTTGAGGATCACAATCTGAGAAACCATCTAATCATGATTTCAAGTGTTTTGCAAGGAGTTAACCATTTGACAGGAAGGAGAATAAAGCAAACCTATCAACCACCAAAACCAACATGCATATGGCGGCCAAAGGGAGGTTAAAAGGAGATACATAGGCCATCACACGAAACAAGGCGGCCACCACTTGGGAATGACACAGGAGGGTTATTAAAACAATTCGATCGAAGAAAATCTCAATTGGCCCGAGTGGATTCGAAGAAATTCAATCCAGTACATCACCATATTTTACATGATTTTACTATATAATTACCTATGTTTTCAAACGGTTTTTGCAAGATTCTTTGCCTTTAGAGGTAGTTTTCTTGTATTTGTGGGATTTGAAGTCTTTGTAGGTGAAATAATCAAAAAGGATGCAAAAAGGAGTAAAAGAGCCCTAAATCAAGATCCATGCAAGTTTCCAAGTCAAGAAGATCATTTTATCTCCAAGTGTTAGTTCTCGCTGCGCGCAGAACGAAGCTTCGGAAGTTTGGCCGCGCGCGGAGGAGTTCCCGACGTCCAAAAGTTACGATCTTGATATGGAAAGATAGATACTTGAGTCATGCATCACGTCGAAGTGGAATGAAGCCATTTGGATCAACTATGAGGCCTAGACTTATTTTCTACCGAGACATGTCCGGTAAGCGAGTAAACGAAGCCCATGGAGGATTTGGAGTGTCTAATGGCCCGAGCAGCAGCGCCAAAGGCCTTGATCGAATAGAGAAGAGGCCTGGCTAATGTTTGGAGCTTTCCTTGGTACAATGTCGGCCCATACACGACGTGGAGAAGAAGGCTTTGCTCGCGGGAAACTTTCCTTTTCCGGCATGAAGAAAACCCTACGCGACTTCGCCCATATATACATGTTTTTAGCCGCTGAAGAAGAGAAGATCGAGTCCAGTCCAAAATTACCAAAGAGTTCACGTGTGAGAGAGAGAGAAGAGAAGAGAAGCCCTAGGAGATCGTCCAAGAAGAAGGAGGCGCCGCTCAACTCTTGTTCTTTCTTTTTCATTGTTTCCATTTCTATAAACTTGATCTTAAGAGTTTTCAAGGGAGAATCCGACTTTGTTCATCAATAGAGAAGCTTTCTTCATCCCTTTATCTCTTTTAATACTTGCATAATGTTTACAATCATGCTTTGCTTGCTTGTTTGCATCATGGCCGAGTAGATCTCTTAGTTAGGCCGAGGAGATCTATGGTGGCCGTGATGATTTGATTGTGTTGCAACTTATTGGGATTTATCTTATGGATCTTCACCTTTACTTGAGCTTAATGCATGATTACTCTACCGTACATCTAGTAATCTGATCTTAGAGAAATAGAACCACGACAGTGCTGAATCTAGATCTCAAAACTAGTATTTGGTGAGCAATAGATCATAGCCAACGAAAGCTGAGTTATGGTTTATTGTGAACAATTGAATCTTGAACCTTGTAATGCATGTTTGCAATTCTAATAGCCAACGAAAGCTGAGTATATTAGGTTGTTTTAAACATAGTGGTTGGAGCCACGACAGTGGAAAGACCATACACTAGTGATTCATGTTCAAGACGGCTCTACACACATCCCATGCAACTATCTTTTCATCATTGCTCCATATGATTGTCCTTTGCCTAACTCTTGTTTTAAATTGTTTACAAACTCACTCACATTTCTTTTGTTTTGTTTTCTCATTCTAGGTCCAAAACCACCTCATATTGCGAGCTAGCTACAAACCAATCTCACAAGGTGTTAAGCGAGAACACTTCCTCCTCGTGTTCGACCCCGACTACAACACGGCTGTGCACTTGCAGCTCATTAGTTGGGTTTATAAATTGTGAAAATTTGAGGCAATCTAAACCCGCCATCACGAGACAGCAATGTCGAGAACGGTACGGATCGTCGTTGCTTTGATCACCGGACTAAAGGTGTCGGTGTACTCCTGACCATACTCCTGGTTGTACCCTTTCACGACTAGTCTCGCCTTGCACCTGTTATGAGCACCAGAAGAGAAAAACTTGTTAGTATAAATCCATCTACAGCCAACCACATTGAAATGAGATTGTCGAGGCACTAAATCAAAGGTTCGATTTTGTGCAAACGCATCAATCTCGGTGGACATGGCTCCACGCCAACGGCGATCTTTGAGTGCCTGAGAGAGGGTTTGAGGCTCCGCTGGGAACGAGGCAGAGAGTCGAGCGGAGTAGTTGTATTTGGGGTTAGGTTTCGTGATGTTGTTCTTGCGGCGAGTGGTCATGTGGTGGAGATTATCCGGCGGTGGATTTGGAGGGGGATTGGCCGGCGGTGGAGAAGGCGGAATATCTCCTCTGGTACAAAGACGGTGGTAGAAACAGAAGACGGCGATGTCGTCGATGTCGGAGATGATGGCGAACTGGAACTGATAGGTTGGGCTGATGAGGATGAAGATTATGAATGGGCCTCAGCAGGTGATGGGCTTCCTGGCTGATGATTTTCGTTTTGGGCTTCAGGGGATAGTGATGATTGGGCCTGAAGTGATGAATTGGAATCATGTGGGTTTGAATGTGAGGAGTTGGAGGAGCTCGTTGACGAGCTTTCAGTGTGACCGGTGTTGTGGCGGATCGACGGCGTCGATGTGTCCGTCGGAGTCAAAGAGTGGGTTGCGGAGGTAGAGAGAGTCGGATTCGATGGTGTCACCGGAATTGCATGCGTCGGTGGTAGGACTGGAAGCAATGATACAGGAGGAGGAGGCGATGGAATTGAGGAAGCCCGGGAAGTGTTCACTGGTACCGGAGACGCCGATTTGTGAAAAGGAAAGACCGTTTCGTCGAACCGGACGTGTCTGGAGATGTAAATGCGACCGGTAGAAGGCTGGAGGCACAGATAAGCGCTTTGCGTTTGAGAATAGCCAATGAAGACGGAGGGAGTTGAACGATCTTCAATTTTATTTGCCGTATATGGTCTGAGCCAGGGAAAGCAGAGACAGCCATAGACCCTTAGCTTCGAGTAATTAGGAGGAACGCCAAAGAGTTTCTTAAACGGAGACTCCATGTTCAGTACCGGAGTAGGTTGGCGATTGATGAGATATACTGCGGTGGTAAAAGCATAAGACCAATAGCTCTTTGGCATGGAAGCATGAGTCAGTAAGGTGAGACCAGTCTCAACGACATGTCGGTGTTTGCGTTCTGACACACCATTGTGCTCCGGTGTGTGTGGTGGTGATGTGAAGTGAGATATGCCGGAGCTGGTGAGAAACGACCGGAGTGCCACAAACTCTCCTCCGTTGTCAGAGTACAATGTGCCAATGCGAGTATTCAGACGATTCTCCACCAGATTCTTAAAGGAAACAAAGGTCTCACGGACTTGGGACTTGAGCTTCAAGGGATATAGCCAGGTATATCTCGTATAATGATCAACTAGTACTAAGTAGTACTTGTAGTTGTCAATAGACATCGTAGGTGAGCTCCATACATCTGTAAAAACATACTCCAAAGGTCGTGAAGAGATAATAGATGTTTGAGAAAATGGTAACTTATGAGCTTTATTGATAGCACAATCTGAGCATAGAGAGTTTGAGGTTACACATTGTTTGTGAGGTAACGAAAAACAAGACAAGATATTATTAAGAATATTGGTAAAAGGGTGACCAAGGCGATGATGCCAATCGGTCGTAGATAGTTATTGAGTAGTAGAAGCAAAGAAAGAATGAAGAGTTGATAGTGAGACAGGCCATTCATAGAGCTCATCCTTGGTATGGCCTTGGATTAATGGGATTCCCGAGCTCAGATCCTTCACCTGAAAGTGAGCAGGAAAGAATTCAACAGAAACTTTATTAGCATCACAAAGCCGGTAGACAGATATAAGATTTTTTTTTAATATTAGGAACACAAAGAACACTGTTAAGTGTTAGAGGCCGAGATTGAGAGGGAAGAGAGAGGGAACCAGTATGTGTGATTGAAAGGCCAGAACCATCACCAATGAGGACAGCGTCGTTGCCATTGTATGGTTGGTTGAGAGAGAGATTGTGCAAGTCGCTGGTCATATGGTGAGTGGCACCAGTGTCCATTAACCACGCATTGGTTGGAGTTGGAGAGGCGACAGAAATATTGGCTCGTGGTTGCCAAGGCCGTGAGGATGTGGGGAGAATGCTGTTGGACTGAGTGGATTGGTATTGTGGGAGCTGTGGACAGCGCTTTGCACTGTGTCCAAAAACGCCACATAATTGACACTTGCCCTGGTAGCCGCGATTGCTGTTGCGATTCTCTGGTCGGGTCTGCGGATTCTGAGAGTAGTTGTTGTGTTGCCAGTTGTGACTCTGACGAGATTGGTTTCTTTGTGGAAACTGACGAGGCTGTGTAGAAGCAACATTGGCAGTGATTGGAACAGCAATGGAGATAGTCGGAGCCTGTGAGATGAGCTTTGCTTCTTTGGTAAGAAGTTTCTCATGGATCTCAGTGATGGATGGCGGAAGATCTCTGCCTTCAATTTGTTCGACAACAGGCTTGTAGTCTTCAGGTAACCCCTCAAGGATGAACTCAATTTGATCTTCATGTTCGATGGGTTGAACTATTCACATGGTGGATCAATGGTTGACCCACTTTATAAAATGGTTGATCTACCACCGCCATCCTCCCTCTCACCGACCGACCTTTCCCTTCCAACTGTCTTCGGCGTCGCTGCCCTCGATCTCTACTCCGGCGTGATTTCCGGCGACAACCAGTCCTGGTGTGGCTTCTCCGATGGACAATCTTGGAATGCCGGCGTACTTTGTCTTTATTTATCCGGCTATCAACCTCTGTTGCTTGCGTTCGTGTTTCCAACCAGAAATCTTTCGGACGACTTGCTCCTCCCACTACCCCACATCATCGATGTTCTCTTCTCAGAATCACCATCTCTCTCCGATGATCCTGCTCCCCTCGCCGTAGGCTCTTCCCACGGCGTTCTCTGCTATGGCGGTCTGAACGATGCAGATCTGCTTCTAACGCCTATTGGGGTGCACAAATTTTGGGCTCGGCCCAGTAAAGATTTTCCCAATCCAGCACAGCAGTCATTTATTCCTTGGGCCCAACTGATACGGGCCTGGCCCATCCAGACCATTGAGGGTCTTTTCTCAAACTGGCTCCTCTACGACCCATCAACGGAATCTTTTCAGCTTCCTTATGTTCTTGGTGTCCATAGCCGACTTGCCGAGATGCTTTCATCCCATTCTTTGTGGTGTATGTTTAACATCTCAACCTCCTCCAGTGGCATGGATTGATCGCTTCCAATAGGGAGAGAACTTTTCCATACCCTCCCTTCTTTGAGAGAAGCGGACTCTTCTCGGACACAATACCGAGTAAGTTTTACAACATTCTCACCGTTTTGTCATCTTGCGTAGTGGTCTGTACAAGGCCTGAAGATGCAACCAGACTCGCTTCGTCGAGTTCCGGAGGCAGAAGTTGTTTTTCAACGTCACATTTCGATCACATTTCGACCGTGACTAGGCTACATCAATCCGGCTCCGCCGTGATTTCTCTTCTGACGCATTTTAGCTTTGCTTTTAATCCGCTGTCACATGAAGACCTATCTATCTTATGCTTTAATTTTCTTATGTTGTATGGTAGTTTTCAAAGAGGATGTCTAATTCCCTCTAGTTTATGTAACACCCAAGCTTAATTTTATGGAATTAAGAGTTTGAACAAAAAAAAAAGTTAAATTTGTTTATGGATGATCCATTAACCCATTCATCCATTAACCATTAAAACCATCTAATTAAATAGGTAATGGGTCAAATCAACTCATTTCCTAAATGGATTGGATTAACCCATGATCCATTAGCACTCAATCCATTAGGACAATGGGTTGGATGGGTTGGATTACCCATTTTGACACCCCTAGATGTGACTAACAAATCATTTTTTCTTAATAAATTTATATTTTATATTTACATAAAAATCATTTTCACACACTGTCTTGAAGACTTGAACAATTCACATTGGTGAAATTCTGACATTATAAACTCTTCGTGTAGCTTTCTCATTACAAGATCACCGACTGATGCTTACTTCGACTCTACTCCAAATCCGGTGGTTTTGTCGACTCCATTAACTGTGCTATCTCTATCTTGGGACATAATTCTATAATCTGGTTTAAATTGTTTTAGAACGCTTGTCTTTTTTAGTTTTGCTAAACACTAGTTAAGACACAATAATCTATATATATATATATATATACAAAATAAAATGAGCTATTTTCTTTTAGTTTTTCTAGACACTAGTCAAGACATAATATATATATAAAGTAAAATGAGCTTTTTTCTTAGGCTGCTATCTCATCACAAAAGATGTCTAAAATCATGATACATCATTATGTTATTTGTTAATTTTTTAATTATTGAATTAATTTATTCTTGTTCTTATTGTTAAATTTTAATTTTCATAATAAATATCATATATTAATTTAATAGGTTTAGCTATAATTTCATAATTTTAGTTTTACATTTCTATTTATACTAGCTTATCAAAGTATTTATTTACATTAAATGGGTCAAGCAAAAAAATGTATAAGATGCAACATAATATTGAGTAAAAAATGAAAAAAGTCTTATAAAAATTATACAGCGTTTAAATGAAAGAAATATGTTAGAAAATGATTAGAGAAAAATAAAATGTGAGTTCTAAATTAACACCGCACCAAAATGCTGTTCATAGTTTAATATGTTACGTTTATGAGAGAGAGGGAGATGGAAAGGGTCACAGGGAGAGGGAATGAGAGAAAGATGTATAATAAGTGTATATGGGAAATACATCATATGGTTAGAAAAAAAAATTAATATTGTTTGTAATGTATTGGTGTAGTTGGGAAGAAAATAATATTTAAGGGGTCAAAGTGGAATAGAGTATTTCTTAGCATTAATTAAATCAAAACTATGTCGTTTGTTATTTTTTTTCACTATTTAAGGGGTCGAAATGTTTTAGGGTTTCCTGTCCCATTACACTAATCTATTTCTTATTGATGCCGCCGCCTCCAATCTTTTCTCTAGCTTCTTCTATTTTGCTCAATCGTTCTCTTTTCTCAGATCTATCAGTTTCATCAAGATCGCTTTCAATGCCATATCTCTTCAAGTGACTAGAACTAGCTATCTTCTTAGGTGCTGATAAATCTTAAACTTTTTTTTTCTTTTTCCGTTTTTGTATGTTTCAATTTCGGTCAAATCTCAATTCCGTATTGTATTGTATTGTTGTTTCAACATTAATATATGCAATGTCTAAAAAAATTGAAAAAAAAACCCAATCGACGAAGAGACTCGATTTGATGATGTAGATTTTATATGGATTTTCTTACACATCATCTTATTCTTCCAATTTCATAGAAAAGGAAAAAACAAGGAAAACAAACTCCTCATAAATTTCAGCTGGAAAATCTGAACAAACAACTCTAATGAGGTAAACAATTTCATTTTTTCTAAAATATTTCCTCAATACTGGCGAGCTGAATCATTGCTAGCAAAATCATTGCTGGCAAAAACCAGACTCACCAACCAAAAATTGGAGATTCCGTTATTTATATTCAACTAAAATAGTAGGACAATAAACTTTTGGGGAATAATGTAACTTCTCGAGTGATCAACCCTCTATGCTTACAAGAAAATGTGAAAAAGTTTGTAATATGTTTTTAATCAGAAATTATCATAACAAAATTCCTTTTATTATTGTGACAAGTTATACAATAACTAAAATGATTCATTAAAATTTTAAATTAAAGAGATTAAATAATAAGAAACTATAATTATAAAAGAAAATTTCAAAATATCTAAAGAAAAAAAAATAATTATTTTTTTCAATGAAACTTTGAATAATTAAATATTAATTATTTGTTTCAATGAAACTTTGAAGAATTAAAAATTAAAAAATTCATATATTGTTTCTAAACATAAAAACGAAATCCGTGCGATAAACAATAATTGAAAATAGCAGTTACTAGTAATAAAATACCTAGTAATAAAAATAAACAGTGACTGTATAAAATTAGCTTTGTAAAGCCAAAATAAACAAATTGAAAAAAGGAAAGTGGGCTGTGATTTTTAAAATTACGATAGATAGATAGCATGATTGGTTTCACTTTAATTTGGGTATTCGGTCGGGTTCGGGTCGGATTCGGGTTTGAAAGTTTGGGTTTTGAAAGTTTAGGTTCGGGTCGGTTTTTGGGTTGAATGTAAAACCTAAAACCCGATTCCGCCGAAGACACAATTGCGAGCAACATCTGAAACCCTAAACCTAAAACCCGATCTCTTCTTGTACCGCCTTCGTCGCTTTCTCCCTCTCACAATCACTAGTCCGGCCTCTCCTCTTCATGGTCCAGAGGAATTTGATTCTTCTGCTCTCACACTCGTGAAAGACATACTTCAATCCAGTCGCAAGATTGATGAAGAAAAAACTAAGGATACAAAAAAAAGGGTTTTGATTCTTGTTGCAATTTACAATTGTTGGTAGATAGAAAGATTATGATAGAGATTGCACAGAGATGCAAAAGGAAGAATTTTGTGGTGTTGTGGATTCGAGGAAAGTCTGAAGAGGTGGTGTTGTTTTTATAGGTTTTAGGTTATGCAAGTGTTAATAATCGGTTTTCGGTTACTAATTCGGTTATCGGGTGTAAACTGAACCGAACCGAACCCGATCTGAAATTTAAATCAGAACTGATCGGTTATTAAGGCAAACCCGAACCCAACTCGGGTCGGATGCGGGTTCGGGCTAAAGTCGCGGGCCTAGTTATACCAATAAGTTCAATTTTGGAGAAAAGACTAATGACGAAACCAACCAGGCGACTAGGTTCAGTACAAGCAAAACACCGTTGATAGTTGTTACCAATAAGTTTAAAAAGAGAGACAACCTTTTTCACAAGGCAAAAACTCATCATTAGTCAATCTCTCCATTTTTCCTTAAAACTCTTATCTTCTTTTGTTTTTTTTCTTTAAGATAGATCTCTCAAAGCGTCTATCTTTTGTTCTTCTTACCCCCAAGATCCGACCACACCTTCAACATCACATTTGTTGCTTCCTCCAATGTGACCTTCCCCCAAGCGTCTATCTATAGGAATTCCTAAGTATTATTCAAGATCAGGAAACAGAAAAATAGGTCTAATTAATTGGCTTTTTATATCAATTATTTGTGGAATAATATGTTGTGTGGGAAAATGACTTAACAAAAAAAAGAAGAAGATTGAAATGGAGTGCTAGAAAAAGTAAATTTTCCACATCCTTCCCTGATCGAAGCTTCTGTCCTGAGGGAGTGACATAATAGCTAAAAGAAACAAATATAAGAAAAGATCCGAGTGGACGACCCCGTGGAAGTTTGTACACACTTTCTTCAGTGTGAAGGAAGTGTTGTCAGACATAAGCGAAAGGTTGTAATTGATAACCTGGCGGTCCAATGTGCAACATGTCAGAAATGGACGGTCATTCCCTCGATGGAGATCTATGAAGAGAGCAGGAAAATTCTAGAGGGAGAACCTTTCTTCTGCGACGTAGCATGTCGATGGAAACCAGAAATGACGTGTGAGGTTCCTGCAATATATTGGCAGGAACGTAAAGAATTTACCTGGGCTCTTGAGAGCCATTTGATCCCTCGCCCACATGCTGGATGGAGGCGTCTGGCGCAGATCAAAAGCGAAGGAAGACTACGTTTCGCTGATATGTTAGTCATTTCACATCTCCGATTTGTGCTTCCCACAACGAGCATAACTCGGCAGCTTCATTCTCTGCTCTTTATATTGAACCTCTATGTTTCCACATCATTGCTGGCAAAAATGTTTCAGGATGTAGTTTCCCTAATCTCTGTAATTCATGGAATGGGAGGGGTCATCTCATTTTTGGAGCTGCAACGAATGAATTCAAGAGATAAGAGAATTAAGGATACCCACCAAGAAGACTAATCCAATCCATAAAGATGTACCAGAAAATACAACATTTTTGTTACTCGACCAACCATCAGGAGACGCAAATACAACGGGTACACTAATCAGTAAGATTGATGAAGTAATAATTAATGCAAAAACAGCCAATTGGAAAGCAATAGTCATGTTTTTATTCCTCCAAGCTATAACAAAATACACCATTTAATCCTCTTACTCACTAAAATTTTTTAATAAATAAATGATATTCTCTCGTGTCATCAATTTTTTATTCATATTCCAAAACTGCTCATCAATAACAGGTGTGATTTGAGAGACAATAAACAAATCTCTAGAGCCTCTTAAAAATAACAAACCGGCCGCGAAAAGGGGTGGGACCCACGGGCCGAAAGAGGGCATGGGTGACTCATCGGGATGAGCGGTCTAGGCGTTATAAAGATTCTCCTTCTCTTTCTACAAAAATTTTAATGTTTTTCAGAAACTATCAGGAGTTGAATATACGCAGAACCATCCAAGTTTACCAGTTTTCAAGAATTTTATATCTCTACATCAAATTATATTGAACTAGCGTACAAAATCAAACCATTTGTAATTCATGTGAACTCAGTTTTCATGTACTTAATTGCTGAATTTTGTTCGCTCTTAGTCTACTCTAACAACTAGTTAAGACTAAAAGTAGCTTAATATTAGCGTCATAATGGATGAATAATTTTAGATGTAGGCCATGTTCGTTTGAAAATCGCCGTGACTGCGGCTGCGACAGAATTTTATTAGTAAAATTAAAAGGAAATGTACAGAAAAGAGAGGAAAAGAGTCCCAGCGTTTTTTATTGCAGGGGAGAGTGAAGAGCAGAGGTGCCGCTGGTTTTCTCTTGCGACTCGGAGGTCACCGGATTCCTTTGATTTTTTCGGTCGCTGCGATTCATCCTTTTCAACCCAGCATCGATGAAGAGTTAAATTGTAAAGGAAGTTCAGTCGCAGCCTCAATCGCAGCGATTCCCAAAAGAACAGGGCCGTAATAGTTCTACTCAGCCACCTTTGTGTGTGTGAAAAATTAAATTATTATTATTATCATGTAACACATAAGGTTATGAAAAAAACTGTCTTGCCTGGTCCAACATAGCTTCCTCATTCTGCTCCAACATAGCCTTTTCATTCTTCAAAAACAGCCAGAAAAAGTGACCAATTTCAGATTTGATTTATCTTATGTTTTTTTTTGATAGATCCTATCGGCTTCCGGTCAGCCCCGGTAGAAACACACCGATGTGCTACAAAGTGGACTCTTCCCGTGGTTCAACGGTTCAACGGACACAAGTCATGAGATCCAAATTTGGGCTACCACCCTGCCTGTCCCGAGGTTGGAGTGCTTTTCGACTAATGTCAAGGGGTAATCAGGCCTCCTGCATCTGATTACCATGTAAAACAATTGGGCCAACTGATAGACTTCCCACACAAATGTGTGTTTTTTTTTTAATTTATATAGAATGAAAAATCACCATTTCAAGTCTGGATTTTCCCATGACATCTTTATTTTTGTTTGTGATCTTTCTTTCACGCTCATCTAGGTTCTTCCTCTCTGCCTCAAGCTCTTTCATAGAGTTTTCATGCGCTTGTATAATATTCCTACACAACTCTATCACATTCACGTCCATCTTTTGAATTTCTTCTCATCAAGAAGAAACACAAAACAAGTGAGCAAGAAATTAAACATAAAATATTATATTCTTTTAAGTTTTTTTTTCTCACCTTCTTTGTAGGTTCTATGTTGCTCAAGGTTGGGCAATTTCATACCCTCCAAAACAAGAGAAGCCTCACTATGCTCGTGTTCGAGCACTTGCTTGCATTTCTCAATCCTCTCAATGGATTGAGACATGTTATCGATGAGCTGATTCATTCTCCTCTTCTCTACTTCTTCAATATGTGAGATACTTTTCAAATCTCATCTCACTGGTTGGTTAAGCCTTTCACTAATTGGAATTAGAAATGAGCTTTTCTAACGATAAATCAACTAAAAAAATAAAACATTTTACATAACTAATAATTGCAGTTCCTGAAAATAGACAAAATCCCTAAAAAAACTATATTTTTTCACTAGAATGAACAAAAACAAAAACACTTTTCGATTTTATACAACACATGAAGGATATAAAAATATTGAAGATTTTGTTTAGAAAAATTGAAATTATTTACCTCCACTAGAACGAATAAAAACACAAACCCTCCACTCAAAAGAGGTTTCTCCATCACTTCGATACACATGCGTTTCAACGCACCAAAAGCTTCAAGCCATCCTTTCTTCACCTTCTTATAGATCCAAGACGGCTTGTCTGAAACAGAGACAAGAACTGACGACAACACTTTGCTCTTCTCAACCGAGGATGTGTGACTCTGTTTCGTGACTGTTTGACTAAACTTTTGCAGTCTTTAGATTCAGAGACAGAGGAAAAGAAAGAGAAGATTAGCTGTTTGATCTATTGGGCCTATTGGGCCACCGTAAATACTAGTTTCGATATGTATAATCTAGGTTAAGAGATGTACTCTAAATAATTTGTATATAAGGCATTGCCTTGCTATCTTAATACATAAGAAAACCCTTTTACACTACTAAGGTTTCTTGACATGGTATCAGAGCTCTAACCTAACTTCTTTTACGGTTATAGCTTTGGATCTTGAGATCTTGAAATTTCCGCTTAGAGATCTTAATCTATTTTCCTTTACTTCTTCTCTTTTGACCTAGTCTTCGTTGATCACTTCTCTCAACGATTTCCTCTTCTACAATGAGTACTGAATCTGCTCTTGTGTCTTCGGTATCACAATCTCGTCGCACTATCTCCTCATACGACTTGACAACTGGTGATAACCCTGGCTCGCTTATTTCCAAACCGCTGTTGACTGGTCCTAACTACGATACATGGGCTACCAACTTGCGTTTGGCTCTTAAAGCTAGAAAGAAATTCGGTTTTGCTGATGGTTCAATCCCTGAGCCAGATGAAAAATCTGTTGACTATGAAGATTGGATTGCAAACAACTCTCTTGTCACTTCATGGATGAAAATTACGATCGATGACAATCTCACACCATCGCTTTGTCATATCGATGATGCTCATGAGATGTGGACACACATTCAAAAACGTTTCGGCGTTAAGAATGGACAACGTGTTCAACGTATCAAACAAGAATTGGCCAACTGCAGGCAGAAGGGGTTGGCTATTGAAGCCTACTACGGGAAGCTTACACAAATCTGGAGGAGCTTAGCTGACTACCAAAGTGCTAAGACAATGGATGAGGTTCGTAAATAACGTGAGGAAGACAAACTACATTAATTCCTTATGGGTCTAGACGAATCAATTTATGGTGCTGTTAAATCAGCTCTCTTATCTCGTGTTCCTTTGCCTACACTTGAAGAGGCATACAACACTCTTTCTCAAGATGAAGAATCAAAACTTGTTGGAAGAATGAATGAGGAACGCATTGAAGGTGTAAGTTTTGTTGTTCAGACAACCCAGCGTGGTGTCTCGGATAACAGAGGTAACAATTTGGTTGTGTGTACCTTCTGTAACAAAACAGGTCATCTTGCTGAAAACTGTTTTCGGAAAATCGATTATCCACCTTGGTTTGGCGAAAAGAATAAAACCAAATTTGGCTCTGCTTATTCTCGCGGACCAGAAAACAATGGAGGTGCTCGTGCCACTGCTGCGTCTTCAACCAATACTCCTAAGGGTCGTGCTCCTGAGTCAGCTCGGGTAAATCATTACGGTTTTGAGATCTTAATTTTTTATGTGCCATTTTATTGACTCGTTTGATTTCATTATGTCTAATAAGAAAAATTTATTTGTCTGAAAGCATTAATATTAATCAAACCCAAGTTGACATAGTGTTAGAAGGATTTTCAATGAAATTTTGTAAAATAAACAAAGTAATGCTTGTAATGGAATCAATACCAAATCTATAATATTATTTTATAGAATTATTTTGTTCTGGAAATAAAATATTCTATTACAAAATTAGCATTAATTCGTGGAGGGAAAATCAGATTTTGTGGTCAATATAGAGGGAAAAAAGCCCGGTTAAAAATATTAAAGTTTATGCGCTTCACTAAACTAAAATTTAAGCGTCACCAATACCCTAAAAATTCACCTAATATATAAAGAAAGTGAGTTATATCCATCTTTCACGGTTTACCCTAGTTATTTAGCAGACGCAGCCGCTTAGGTTTTTGATTTTCCACAACCAGTGATTTCAAGGTCTGATTCATGTCTCTAATCCTTTGTCTTTCGTTTATATTTTGTCTCTAACCTTTGTCTTTCGTTTCATATCTCTGAGTAAAACAGGGAGTCTTATTCTTATTTTTTTTTCAATTACAGATGCGTCCCCATTCATCGGCGGACGCTTGTACGAAGTAGAATCATCCAATCATGCTGGTTCCAGAAGATCTCATTCCCTTGGATTTATGAATCCAAACCCTGCCAATTCTGCTGAACCAAATGAACAAAGGGAGAGGGAAGAAGCTGCACAGAGGGAGAGGGCAGAAGTTGCACAGAGAGAGAGGGAACAAGCTGCACTCGCAGCACGTAATGGTCGAGTGCTCCACCCATCTCGAAAGAATGGAGCCAAATGGTATTGTTTTCTTTTAACATATACAGAAAAGTAAAATAAAATATTGATAAATAATTTAATTACTTTTAATTTGCAACAGGTTTGGAATAGACATTGAAGTGTCAACGAAAGTTAGAAAAATCATTGAAGGGTGTTTCAAAGGACCATGGTACAGCTGGAAAAGAGTGCCCCAATTTTATAAAGCTGCATGGTATTCAACGTTCAAGGTGTGCTTAAATTATGTGTTGTTGTATACTTTTATGAATGATTTTTTACTTTATTTGACTAATAATATTCTATGTATATTAGACAATTTATGAGTGCGATGTCTCAGTCGAACATATTGTTAAAGCCAACTTTGATGACCTTGCTGCTACACGTCTCAAAAGAATGGTTAGCCTTGCAAAATCCAAAAGAGTAAAACCTGATTGGATTTTGACTGAAGATTGGAGAGTCATGTTAGATTATTGGAGGCACACCAAAAGCCAAAGAAATAAGTGAGAAAGCTCGTTCTGCTCGACTGTTTAATCATGATGGTTACGGCCCACATCGACACAGATCAGGTTCACGTTCGTATGCCAAAGTTCAAGATGTTCTGGTAATACATTGCTTTTTCTACTTTTGGAAATTTTTTCCTTTACAAACTTTGGTATCTTTATTTACGTAATTACTTTGCTTACTCTTTTTATTTTTAGGAAGCAAATAATGAAGACTCTTCCTTCATTGCTGTGATGAAAAAAACACACCAAAAACCTGACGGAACCTATGTTGATGAAAGGGCACGAATAATTGCAGAAACATATGATGAACAAATCCTAGAGCGCTTGTCTGAGATGGAGTCTTCCAACGGAGAAGCTTTGATTGATTCTCTTACCATAGAGGATAGAAATGAAATCTATGTTAAGGTAATTTTCAGATTCTAACCTTTCGTTTTTTTACCCTTGTCTTGAGACCCATTTGTTCACTTAGAGCTTATATGAAATTTGTGCATGAGTTTAAAATGTGTCTTTGTTTACACATTTTTTTTTTTTTTGTAGATTGCTGGAATATCAAAACAAGGCCGTGTATTTGGACTTGGATCACTTCAAAGTGGGATTCCTGTGTCTTTAAATGGTTCGACTGTTTCCCCGCAAGCTACTGAAGAGGTGGGAACCTTAACTCGCCGGGTGGAAGAACTTGAAACCGAACTTGAAAAAAGTCGTAATGAGAATGCGCTGATTCAGAAACGACTAGAAGGTGTGGAGAAATTGGTAGAGACTCTTTTGGGTCAGCATGTCGTAAGCCCAAACTCCATGAGCTTCTGCTTCTCCACTTATTCAAACCTCCTTGCATGGTTTTTAGTTTGTTTTCATGTTTTCTTGTTTTTTGTTTTTTACTTTGTATGGTCATGCTACGTAACATGGCTGTAGTTTGGTTGCTTATGGTTTTAGACTATGTTTCTTTTTTTTAATGAAGACACATTTATTTTGAATATTTATTTTTGGTAATTTATTTAAAGATTATATTAATTCGTCAAAAAAAAAATCATTTTAATTATCAACAACAATTTTATAACATTACAAATCAAAAGAATTAACTAATAATAGTTATTTTTAAAGATGTTTTAGTAAAACAAATCGTAAAATGTATGCATTATTGTAAAAATAATTTTGTAACCAATAAAACGAAATCAGTAGCTAATTTAGACAAAAATGTGACATTTTTTTATGTCATTACTGGTTACCATTTGTGATTAAAGTTTCGTCGAGAAGAATGACAAAACTGTGACATTGTTATAGTCACACTTTTTTACGATTTAAGGACTAAGTTTGAGTATGTAATTTCGACGATTAAGCAACGATTATCTAGTCATTATTTGTTACTATTTGTGACTACACGTTCGTCAAGACGAGTGACAGAACTGAGATATTCTAATAGTCACATTTGTTTACGTTTTAAGGACTAGGTGTTAGTAACTAAGTGTGACGATTAAGCAACGATTATCTAGTCATTATTAGTGACGATTTGAGACTATAATTTCGTCATAATAGGTGACGTAATAGAGACCTTATAATAGTCACAATATATGACGGCCTTGTGACGATGTTAGTAGTCACTATCCATGACTGTTTTGTTACTTTAGATTTTTGTCACCCATGTCGACGAAATAGTTACTCAATGTGTTGTTAGTCATAAATTTGTGACGTTGTTGTTACTAAATAATATTTGTGACGACTTTATTGCTACCAATAACAAAGCGTCACATTTCCGTCACTATGATTTTATTGTTACGAAATTTTGCTTATTGTGACAGAAAAAATCGTAACAATATCCCCTTTTTCTTGTAGTGTTTGGTGGTCTATCAGACTCAAGGATTTTAAACGGATGCCATTGCACATCTCCGATTTGTGCTTCCCACAATGAGCATAACTCTGCACCTTCATTCTCTGCTCTTGATATTGAACCTCTATGTTTCCACATCATTTCTGGCAAAAACGTTTCAGGATGTAGTTGCCCTAATCTCTTCACTCTGATATTCTCTCCTGTCATTAAATCTTGATTCATATTCCCGAACAGCTCATCAAAGACAAAAAGAACATTAGCTTTTCTTTTCCTAAACTTAAAAAAAGAAAGTTGTTGTTCTTTTTTCACACCTTCTTGATAGGTTCTGTGTAGCTGAAGGTTGTGCAACTCCAAACCCTCCAAAACAAGGGAAGCCTCATTGTTTTCATGTTCGAGCACTTCCTTGCGTTTCTCATTCTTCTCAATGGTTTGAGACAAGTAATCAACAAGCTGATTCATTTGCCTCTTCTCTCCTTCTTCAATCTGTGAGATACTTCTCAAATCTCTTCCCTTCTTAACTTTCTCCCCAACAATCCCCCATGAGTTATAATCTTCCTCTCTCGCAACCCATCCATAGAGTTTCTCACCTCTCGTGTGAATACCTTTCAAATAAAAATAAAACTCAAAAATCTTGAACTTACTCAAAAGAAAGAAACTGTGATGTCAAGAAACACAAACGTAATATATTGAATGCTATTACCATTATTCTTCCAATCTTTCTTCCCATGGCGGTCTTGTTCAAAACTCCGCTCATACGGCGTTTTCAGATCCTTGAAAATCTTTGTTGAATTCAACCAAAGCAAAACCAGAATGTCCTGCTTTACTCCAAACTGGTTTGACTCTTTGTGGATTAAACCCTTTCTGAGTTAGTTCATCACGTATTCCTGAACAGCTTCTGCCTTCTCTCATACCGGTTCTCTCATTAACCTCCGTTGGTACGTTCGCTACAACACCGACCCATGGCCACACATACTTTTCTTCACCGTTTTTCTTCATATCTGTCAGAAAATCTGCGAGCTTCAATAAAAAGAAAAAAGAAAAATGATTTTATTTCCCACCAACAATAATCAATCAAACATGACAAAACTAAAGAACAAAGGAACTTTGGATGAGCAAAGATACTTGCAATAGGTTCTTGTTACTCTAGTGAAAAATCACATGGTATAAATCGGAAGACAGAAATCAGTAAAATTTTGGGTTTTGTTACTTACAGCAACACAGTAATCGTCAAAAGGAAGTTATTCTTTTCCTCCAAATTAACAAGTAAGAAATTATGATTATTTTTCAGTAGACCTTTCAGTTTCCAGAATTTTTAAATCCCATTTAAAAATTATTTATTTTATCAAAACACAATTGTCTATGGACTTGGGCTTAAATGAAAAAGAGATGATTAATTGTGTCTTTAGACTTGGGCTTAAATTGTCTCCGTCTTCGCTTGACGAAACCAAAGAATCGTCCTAGCTGTGACCTCGATAGCATTACAATGTTAAAATTTATTAGAAACAATTCATAATTGACTGAGAAATAACTATTGTAATGTTCTTATAGATTACCTTATCTTAGACCATCTCCAACCCCTCATGCCATATGTTATTGCAAATGGCAAAAATATAGCAATAGCATTGGATTTCTTTTCAATCCCTCATGCCATATATCATGCTATAATTTTTTTCCAACTTATTATTAATTGTTAAAACTAATTGATTTCTTCAAATTTTACAAAGTGAATCATTTATTTTTTTTTTTTTGCAAAAACAGCCAGAATTATATTTTTTTATTTTTTATTATTATAATATTAAAACAAAATACATTATATTACATAAAAATTAGAGAAAACAAATATTTTAACCTATTGTTTTATGTTTTTTGAATTTCAATATTTTTAAAAATAAAATTTGAAGTTTATTATGGTTATGTTTCTATATTTCTATGAAATAAATATTATTTGTATTTTGAAAAAGTTATGAGTATTGTTTATTTATTTAAATAAATCATAATCAATATGGAGCTTGAACCAGGACCAGTTGGAGATCCACGGAAGAGACCGTTCAGGTTCGAAGCTGCGTGGTTGAAGCATCCGGGGTTCAAGCAGATGTTGGAGATTTCTTGGAACAAGGATATGGAAACGCCGAGAGCTTTGGAGAAGTTGAAAGTTGCTCTCAAGAAATGGAATCGAGATGTATTCGGGGATATACAGAAACGGAAAGAGGTTTTGCTGGATGATATAAAAGCAATCCAAGACGAACTGGAGCTAATACCGACGGATGCTTTGCTAGACAGGGAGGAGCAATTGCTAAAGGAGATGGATGAGATTTTGGAGCAAGAAGAGATAATGTGGTTCCAAAAGTCTCGTGAGAAGTGGATAGCATTGGGGGATCATAACACCAGGTATTATCACACATCCACAGTTGTGAGGCGGAGACGAAACCGGATCGAAATGTTAAAGGATAATGAGGAGAGATGGGTTACGAATGCTGTTGAGTTGGAAAGCATGGCCCTATAATACTATCGGAGACTTTATTCCTTAGAGGATGTGGATTGCGAAGTAGAGAAACTGGATTCTGCAGGCTTTGCAAGATTAACGAGGGATGAGGTTAATGCTCTCAGTCGACCCTTCGCTGCAACAGAAGTGGAGAAAGCAGTCAGGAGTATGGGACGATACAAGGCACCTGGCCCAGATGGCTACCAACCAATTTTTTATCAGGAGAATTGGAAGGTCGTGGGAGAATTTGTGGCTCGTTTTGCTTTGGAGTTTTTCAGGACCGGAGAGCTGAAACGAGGGACGAATGATGCGATTGTGGTGCTGATACCAAAGGTCATGAAGCCGGAAAAGATTACTCAATTCCGACCTATCAGTTTATGCAATGTATTGTTCAAGACGATTACAAAAACAATGGTGATGAGACTCAAGAAGGTTATGCAGAAGCTCATTGGCCCGGCTCAATCTAGCTTCATTCCGGGGCGATTAAGCGCTGATAATATTGTTCTGGTGCAAGAGGCAGTTCACTCAATGAAGAAGAAGAAGGGCAGGAGAGGATGGATGCTCCTGAAATTAGACTTGGAGAAAGCGTATGATCGCATAAGATGGGATTTCCTGGAAGACACATTGAAGTCGGCAGGGTTGCCGGAGAGTTGGATCCAGTGGATCCTCCAGTGCGTCACCGGACCGGACATGAGCTTATTGTGGAATGGGGAACGAACTGAAGCGTTTCAGCCACAACGAGGCTTAAGGCAGGGTGACCCCTTATCACCATACCTGTTTGTGCTCTGCATGGAACGCTTGTGTCATCTGATCGATAAGTCGGTGATTGGGAAGAAGTGGAAACCAATAAGGCTTTGATGTACTTGCATTTTACATAGTTTTAGCACATCTTTTATGCATCTTTTGCATAGTTTTAGCTTTCATTTGCATCATATCTTGTTCCTTTTCTCTTCTTATGCATTCATGTTAGTTTTAGGTTGCATTTGCATACATATGCATGTTTGGTCCTTTGAAATAGGTCTTTTGGAGCATTCTGGAGCATATGGGACATAAGGAGCATGGAGGGACTTGGCACATGGAAGCAGCTCAACTGGATACGCAAAGGAAGAAGGGAGAAGCCATCTTGAAGACCAGCTCGACCGTTCTCAACTCGACCGGCCAAGCTTCAACTCGATCGAGCTGGGGAGTCAAAGTCAAACCCGAAAAATGTTGCTTCCCCCTTGACTTCCCTTTGACCCTAAACCTAATCCTCTTTGTATTTAAAGGCTCTAGCCACGAAAAAAACCAAGCTTTAGATTATTTTGTTTTAGTTTCTTTTAATTTATTGTACTTTTACTTTTTAGAGATCTAATCCCATCTTTGTGTTCTTGAAGCTCTTGCTTCTTGAATCTTAGATCCTGGATAATCTCTCTTGTATTTGCACTTGCTTATTTCAATAAAAGTTGTTTAATTTCATCTCCTCTTTCTTATGATGTCTCTTTTATTGCATTTGCTTGTGTTTACATTAAGTATAGATTCCTTTGATTGCAAAACCCTGTCTTGAACCCTAATTCTCTCTTTATCTTGTTAAAGTCGTCACCTTTAGCTTTGTTTGTCTCAACTCGTCCCTAAACTCGATCGAGCTGGTACTTTGCTCTGACTCGACTCGAGCTCTTGGTCGAGCTGACACTTCACTGCTTTGTTTACTTTTATTGCACTGCTTTTCATTTTTTTAGGTTGTTAGTGTTACTTCAAATCTTTAACTGCTTGCTTGACTTCTGGTTGTTTCATATTCTCAAAGAGTGACAAGTTTCCCATTTTGGATTGATAACCTCTTATACTTCAATGACTATGATGGTTAAGAGGAATTGATTGATTGTGATTGCACCATTTCATCTTATTACCACTGTTTGCATTCCACCTCATTTCATTTCATATCATTCACATCCACACACAAATCCTATCATCAATTTGGCGCCGTTGCCGATTTGGGAATATTTTTGTTGCATTTGAGTTTCAAACACACTTGGACGATCAAGCTATACCACCCCTGTTCTATTGTACTGCTGGGTTTTTGTCTCTTTTTGCAGGTGTATGCGAACTCGATCGAGTCGGTCTACTGAAGACTTGGTCGAGCTAGACTTACAACGGGTAGAAAGAGGGTTCAGAGGTCACAGAGGGTACAAGAGGAACCTGAGGTGCTTGTTGCTGATACAATGGATGTACCAGAGGGGAATGGAAACCCTTTGGGTAATGGACTCGGTCGAGCTAGGCAAACTCGACCGATTGGTCAAGGAGATGCTCCAAACCGCCACCAACAGAGACAAGGGATTGTTCCACCACCAGTGCAGAACCACAACTTTGAGATCAAGCTGGGAATGATCAACCTTGTCCAGAACAAGATGTTCCATGGATTGCCAAGTGAAGACCCCATTGACCACCTTGATGAGTTTGATAGGCTTTGTGATTTGACAAAGATCAATGGTGTCTCTGAAGATGCCATCAAGCTGAGACTCTTTCCTATGTCTCTAGCTGACAAAGCTCACCAATGGGAGAAGAGCTTGCCCCATGGCACAATCACCACTTGGGATGAATGCAAGAAGGCCTTTCTTGCTAAGTTTTTCTCCACCGGTCGCACAGCCAAGCTTAGAGGAGAGATATCCAGCTTCATCCAGCGAAACAATGAGACATTCGCAGAGGCTTGGGAGAGGTTCAAAGGCTACACAAGTCAGTGCCCACACCATGGATTCAACAATGAATCCTACTCTCCACTCTTTATAGAGGATGCTTGCCTAGGTATAGGGAGATGCTAGACACAGCTAGCAATGGGAACTTCCTCAACCAGGATGTAGATGATGGCTGGCAACTTGTGGAGAACATAGCTAACTCAAATGGAAGCTATGGAGAAGAGTATGATCGCACCAACCGGAGCTCGACCCACCACTCGATCGAGTCAGACGAAAAGTTGAGAAAAGATGTTAAGGCATTGAATGAGAAGTTGGATAAGCTGATCCTAGCTCAGTCCACAATGAAGAAAGTCAACTTTGTGTCTGCTGAGGAGATGGAACCAGTCCAAGAAGGGGAGGATACACAATTTGCTGAGGTGTGCTACATGAGCAATGGGCAAGGAGGTTACAACAAAGGATACTATAACTACAAGTCCAACCCTGCCATGTCATACCGCAACACTGATGTTGCTAACCCTCAGGACCAAGTATATCCTCAACAACAAGCAGCTCGATCGAGTCAGGTGCCACAACATGGGTATGGTCAAAAGAACAATTACCAAGGACCACAAGGCACTTTCCCTGGACAACAAATGAATATCCCACCAGGCTTCCCCCACCAACCGCCCCAGCCTGCACCTTCACAAGAGAATGAGCTCAAGGCAATGCTAAAGCAACTACTTCAAGGGCAAGCTGATGGGGTAGTGGACACAAGCAAGAAGCTAGCTGAAATAAACTCTAAGATCGAGAACCTCAACACAAGGGTTTACTCTCTGGAGAATCATGCTTCTTCTGTTGCTGCTGCTACAAAGCAAGGACAACTACCTGGTAAAGCTATTCAGAACCCCAAGGAACAGTGCAAGGTCATCTTCACTCAAGAAGGACTTGTTGAAGAAGAGGATCAAGAAAGGGTCATTGAAGATTTTTGTTTACTGCTGAATGATGAAGAGATTGTTGCTGCTGAGGCTCCTGGAGTCCAGATTGATCAACCAGAAGTGCATGCACCTACTGTGGCCATTCACACTTCACCAGTTGAGCTCGCACGACAAGCTCGATCGGCAGCTCGATCGAGTCCAACTCTAGCTCGATCGAGTCCGACCTCTTCTGTCCGACAGCCTGTTTTGCTTGATCCTTATCAACCGGTTGCCGCTTCCTCGTCTCGCCTACTTAGTCAAGGTCACAAGGAAGTGATTCACAAGTTCAGAAGAGATCTCAGTGGGATTGGAATTGAGTTGCCTCCTATGGATAGCATGAGTGAGGCATTTGATCAAATGCAAATGGTCAAGGATGTTCTAGCCAACAGTGATAAAGTTTCAGAGGTCCTACAAGAGTCTACTCATCAGTTCAACCTGCTTACTTCACCCACCTTCCTACCAAAGGTCAAGGATCAAGGGAAATTCACTCTCCCTTGCACACTTGGGCATCTTGAGATTGACAATGCCTTAGTGGATTCTGGAGCAAGCATCAATCTGATCTCTCTCTCCATGGCAGAGAAGCTAGGCATTGCTGGAGCCTTGCAGCGCCCTACTACTTCAATCATGTTTGGAGATGCAACTTCTAAGTCTCCTCTTGGAGTGTTCAAGAACTATCACTTGAAAATTGGAGAATGCATCATCCAAACTGATCTCACTGTGATGGAAATGGAAGAAGAGAAGGATTTGCCTCTGTTATTGGGAACCCCTTTCCTTAGTACAGTTGGCGCTTCAATAGACTTTCACAAGCAAGAAGTGATCCTTCACAAGGTGAATAGTTTGGTGTCATATCGCTTGCAGCCTAGAGGTTCAGACTTTTGTGCCACAATTGACAGTACCACTCTCAGTTCTAAGAGTCATGGAGCTACAAAGGTTGTGAAGGAAAGGGTTGACAAGGAACCAAGAGTTGGGAAGGATAAGGATGAGAGAGGACCAAGGATTGAGAAGCCACGTCTTGAGAGGGCTAGAGTTGAGAAACCACGATCTGATAGGCCAAGAGCTGAGAGACTTGTTCAAGCCCCTTGTGTGCTTGATGAAGAGAGCCTTCAAGCTTTGTTTGATGAGCCACTAGGAAGGGCTCTAAAAGAAGGGGAGGATGCAGCCTCTAAGGCAAGACCAGGGATAAAAGAAAGGATCCACCAGCTCAGGCCCCTTCAGTCAAGCCATCTCAGCTCACAATGACTTTGTTCCCCACCAAGTTTGAAAATGGGAAGATTGAGTACAAGATAAGGTACAAGGGGAGATCAAGGCCATTCTCTAGAGCCAAGGCCTTGGTGACTTCAGAACAGTCCAGGGACCCAACCAAGCTAAAGGAGCTTCTGTCTCAAGTCCTCACTATCACCCTTGATGGTGGGACTAGCTCAACCAATGCCTAAAAGGTAAAGGTCAAGCTATGGGACCTTAAACAAGCTCACTTGGGAGGAAGTCCCATGTTTATCCTTGTACATACTCTATTTATGCAATTTCTATCTATCTTTATGTTTTTAACCTTTGAATAAGTTAAGTTTAGGTGTCAAGGAGCCAGCTCGACCGATAGCTCGATCGAGCTAGAAACCAGGGCAACTCGATCGAGCTACACAACTCGACCGAGGTAAGTTTTTGAATTTCAAATTCATAACCGTTTTCTTGGTCAAGGGAGTGGGTCCCACAAGCTGATTTTGGTCCCCCACTACCCTAATTTGATCAGAGAATCCCTAGCTTCTTGTTCCCTCTTTATTTCATCTTTTAATCTCAACCACACATCTCAAACACCCCTCTTCCCCATAACTCGATCGAATCCACCTCTCTCTCTCCCACACTTAAAATTTCTGAAATCATCTCTCTCTCTCATCACCACAAGAAAAATCGATTTCTCTCTTTCTCTCTTAAGTTTTTGCGATTTCTCTTTCCTTGTTCTCTTGCTTGTTCTTGTTTACTGTTCTTCCATCATTCAACAAGGTATGAACCCTAAAACCCTTGATTCCTCCATCTCGATTTCCTATTGCTTGTTTCTCTTTGATTTTTGATTGCATGTGTCCCTTGTGGACTTGTTCTTGAGTAATTGCCCTCATATTTCGCCTCTGCTTATAATCTTGTTAGTTTGTTTCACCTCACCTCTGTTTTGCCTTTAAACTTGTTGCATGTGCTTGAAAATTGAATTTGAGTTTGGTATGGTTAAGGATGCTTATGTTTTCACTAGAATTGCTCATTGTTCCATTTACTAGTTGTTCTTGGTTCAATTTGATTGATTAGCATCCTTTCCAGCTCTTAATACTTGAATTAGGTTTGGTTATACTCTGTTTTCACCCAACTCGATCGAGTTTGTCACTCGAGTTTTTTGACTCGATCGAGCTGAGTGTCGAGTTGACCAAACCGATCATTACAACTCTAATTCTTTGTAATCTTTGATGCATTTCAGGTACTTTAGTGAAGAAACAGTGTAACAAGGATGACAAACAGTGAGGGAAGTGCGCTTCACAGAGGAGAATGGTTGAGGGTGAATCAAGCAATGCAAGGGAAAGAAGGCTTAAGATGCAAGCCGATTTGGAAGAGGATGGATCAGAGGATGGAAGAATCTGATGCAGAGGATATGTCTACTCTGAGGAGGAACAGTCTGAGAGTGAGAGATTGAGGGAAGAAAGGAGAACCAAGAAGAGGAATGACCCTATTAGTAGTGAGAGTGAGCAAGGGGAGTTTGAGATTGGAGTGAACCTTGTTCAAGAGGAGGGAAATGGTTCTCCAAATGAAGAAGGAGTGATGAGACTGAGAGTGAAGAGGAAGGAGAAGAGGTGAACCAATTGGTTGATGAAGATGAGCAAGAGGGGAACCAAGATGAACCTATGGAGGAGTTGAGCCACAGAGAGGCAAGAGGAGGAGAAGCTCCCTATGTACCAAGAGCATTACAATGCTCTCTTCTCCATGGACTTCATGGAGACCAAGTACCCACATGTTGACACAATGAAGGCCCTTGGAATCTTTGAGGATGTGGAGTTTCTCAAGAACATGCACTTGGCCAAGCTTCTTCTCTTATCACATGGAATCCTACAAGGAGCTCACTTGCGAGTTCTTAGCTTCAATGAGGTACCACATGTATGAGAGGAAGATAGAGCTGATTTGGACCAAGGATTGGGATGGATCACGTTCTTGGCTAAGGGAGAGAAGAGAATGGTGACCTTTAGGCAGCTGGAATCTTGTTTGGGTTCAACTATGGAGAGGGTACCAAGTGGAACTTCAAGGAAAAGGAACTCCAAAGGGTTTGGGCTACAATCGCTGATGGAGTGTACTCTTCCTCAAGGTCCAAGGCAGCTCAGATCAGGAGCCCAGTCTTGAGGTATGTGCACAAGGCACTTGCCAACACCTTCTTTGCAAGGAAGGCGACCGGGACAATCAACGAGGGGGAACTCAAGTTTCTTGACATGGGAATCAAGCCCTTCTCTCACGCACAAGCGATGGCAAGAGGATCAGGGGAGATAGATCTGACACAGGGAACTTGATGCCTTCCTTGACCATCTCCTTACCTACAAGATCACAGCCTTACAACACTAGCATCAACGAGGAAGGCGCCTAAGTGTTGGAGGGCTCATCACCCTATCTTGTGTGCTGCTGGAGTGAACCCAACTGATAGAGAGCCACTGAACCAGGTTGGATGGACATCAAGTTTTGCAAGACCAACCTTCTCATTGAGCACAAGGAGTTGGATGGGAGATTCCAATTCAAGTTCACACATCCATTGGTTGGACCCTCCAAGCTTCTCCTGCCCTAACCCAGAGCTCACCACAGTAGTAAGGGGTGAGAACATTGACTTCAGACCCCCTGTGTACACATTAGTTGGGCATGAGGATGATTTGCGAGAAGAGGAGCCTGAGCTCGATCGAGCTGAGTCGATCGAGCTGAGTCGAGCTGAGGATCGAGCTGAGGAGAAGTCCAGGAGAGTGCGGATTTGGGTGAGCCTGAGTGCTATTACTTTGAGGAGTATGAGGCTCCAAGGATGAACCCCTCTGTTGTGGCTGCCACAAGAGGATTGGACTTCTCCAAAAGTTCAACAAATGGCAAGGGAAAGCCATTGAGAAGATGCAAAAGTCCATGGACAAGATGGTGAGCAAGATCAAAAGTTTGGAGAAGAAGGTTTCTGGTTCTTCAAGCAAGAAGAAGAAGTCCAAGGCCCCCACATTCCTAGGAGTAGATCTCCTCACCACTCCAAGGAGGCTCCCTGCCCAAGAGCCTCACAGAGCCTCTTCTTTCGAGCCAAGGGAAGGAGAAGACAACACGCAGAGAAGGAGGAAGACTTCCAAGGCCAGACGCTCCAGCTCGACCACCGGACTCGATCGAGTCCAAACAGAGGAAACTCAACTCGATCGAGCTGACGGTCGAGTTGACCTGGAGGAGCCCCAGTTTGAGGATCCGGGATTTGAATACGATCCCATGCCTTACCAGGAGCCTCCCCGGAGTAGATGGAACCCCTATGGACAGTACGAGCTACCAAGCTCCACCAAGGCCAAGGAAGCCACACACTTTGAGATGAAGAGGAAGAGGAGAGCAAGCTCGATCGAGTGCAAGACAGTTGAGTGGAGTGCTCCTGATGGCCGTCTACCATCTCCAGACCACGACCTAGTCTCCCAGTTCTTTGGGGGACACTGAGGTATCCAAACACCAACCCTTGTATATACCATTTCATATTTTCTTGCATTTGTTCTTGTTTTTCTTGGTTTTGCCCTCTTGAATCTTTCACTAAATTTTTCTCACACAAGGGACTGTGTGATTTAAGTTTGGGGGAGGGTTCAAGAGATGATTTAACCTTGTTTTCTTTGTTCTTAGTTTTTCATTTATCTTTTGCATAGAAAAACCAAAAAAATCATAAAATTTTCAAAAAATCCAAAAATATTTTCATCTTTTTGCATTCATATTTGTTAGACTTGTTTAGGATTGCATTTTTCACTTGCATTGTTGATTTGACTTTGAAAACTTGTCCATCTTTTGCGATTTCTTGAGTGCCCTGTTTTTAGATTCTTTTGTGCATTAGGGTGAGATTGATTGAGCAGCAAGAACCATGTTTATCTTGATCATATCACTGCATGCACATCTCATTCAACCATTGCTGTGATTTGATGCATTTCCCTATCTATTTGAACCATAACTTGATCTTTAATTACCAATGCTTGCATTTGATTTCAACTCATGGCTACCACATACATATCTGGACATTCTTTACCTATTTTCATATCCCTTTTGCTTGTCCAGATAGCTGATCTCTATCTTTGAGACAGTTACCACACCTTAAACCTAAGCCTTTTCATTTCAAACCCCATATTATCTCTTGTGCGAATGTGAGAACCTTTCTTGGCTTTGCTTAGCATAAGGTGTTGTGTTTAAACCGGCAGGGGCAGTAGTTCTAGTTGTCTAGTTCTCTTGGGATTGTTTTCAGGCTAAGTTTGGGGGTGCCAACTCGAGCTCGATCGAGTTGGGTGTAAAAACCAGAAAAGTGGTAAAAGTTGGGAAAAACCCAAAGGAAAAAGAGTTTTTAAGTCCAGGGAGTTGGCAGTGTTAAAAAGGGTCTAGTAAAGGTTTGGGAAGTTAAAAAAGGAAAGTAAAAAGGGTTCTAAGTAGAATGAAAAGAAGGCAAAGCCTCAAGTGTCCAAAAAGGAAAGAAAAGTTCCCTAAGTGTTTAGAAAATCCCAAACCGCTAGATGTTACCTCAAGAAGCCTCTCCCTAGGAAGTTCTTAAAAGAAAAGTGAGCAAAGCTCCTCAGTTTCAAAGGCGAAATGCCAAAAAGGGTAGTTAGGATTTTGTTCTAAAAAGCTCTAAGTGTTGAACTCGATCGAGTTAGGATTAGGCGGCTCGAGCTGCTGTTCTTGCATCATCTTTGGTTCTAACACTTAGCCTTCTGCCAAAGCAAAGCCACTTTCTTGAGAGATCCCTGTTACTAAACCACCATACAAAAGAGACCCTCTTTGTCTCTTAACCCATAAACCCTTGAAACCAAATGAGTTGATTGATCTTGCATGTTTTTGGTTCACTGTTTTTGCTTAATGAATGTTAAAGGGATTTGCTGATTTGAATGCATTGTTTGAGTGACTGTGAAGTGGGATTGATGTTGATAAGCATGGTTAAATCTTAATGAATATCTCTCACCTTGTTGCATTCTAGAATCTCTAAGTTGGACATTTAGCAAATCGCTTTTGAGGACATGTTTTTAAGTGTTGAATCAGCTTATTTTCAAACCTCATCTCTTTCTTGTTCTATTTGTTTGCTTGAGGGCAAGCAAAGTTCAAGTTTGGGGGTGTTGATGTACTTGCATTTTACATAGTTTTAGCACATCTTTTATGCATCTTTTGCATAGTTTTAGCTTCCATTTGCATCATATCTTGTTCCTTTTCTCTTCTTATGCATTCATGTTAGTTTTAGGTTGCATTTGCATACATATGCATGTTTGGTCCTTTGAAATAGGTCTTTTGGAGCATTCTGGAGCATATGGGACATAAGGAGCATGGAGGGACTTGGCACATGGAAGCAGCTCAACTGGATACGCAAAGGAAGAAGGGAGAAGCCATCTTGAAGACCAGCTCGACCGCCAACTCGATCGAGAAAAATGAAAAATGTTGCTTCCCCCTTGACTTCCTTTGACCCTAAACCTAATCCTCTTTGTATTTAAAGGCTCTAGCCACGAAAAAACCACCAAGCTTTAGATTATTTTGTTTTAGTTTCTTTTAATTTATTGTCTTTTACTTTTTAGAGATCTAATCCCATCTTTGTGTTCTTGAAGCTCTTGCTTCTTGAATCCTTAGATCCTGGATAATCTCTCTTTGTATTTGCACTTGCTTATTTCAATAAAAGTTGTTTAATTTCATCTCCTCTTTCTTATGATGTCTCTTTTATTGCATTTGCTTGTGTTTACATTAAGTGTAGATTCCTTTGATTGCAAAACCCTGTCTTGAACCCTAATTCTCTCTTTATCTTGTTAAAGTCGTCACCTTTAGCTTTGTTTGTCTCAACTCGTCCCTAAACTCGATCGAGCTGGAACTTTGCTCTGACTCGACTCGAGCTCATGGTCGAGCTGACACTTCACTGCTTTGTTTACTTTTATTGCACTGCTTTTCATTTTGTTTAGGTTGTTAGTGTTACTTCAAATCTTTAACTGCTTGCTTGACTTCAGGTTGTTTCATACTCTCAAAGAGTAACAAGTTTCCCATTTTGGATTGATAACCTCTTATACTTCAATGACTATGATGATTAAGAGGAATTGATTGATTGTGATTGCACCATTTCATCTTTATTCACCCCTGTTTGCATCCCACCTCATTTCATCCTTCACATCATTCACATCCACCACACAAATCCTTTCATCAGGCTTTCGCGTGGAGGGCCTCTATTGTCACATTTGTGTTTCGCGGATGACTTGATACTATTTGCAGAAGCATCTGTGAGCCAAATCAGGGTCATCCGGAAGATACTAGAGGAGTTTTGTGTGGCATCAGGCCAAAAAGTAAGTCTGGAAAAATCCAAAATCTACTTTTCAGAAAATGTGAGTAGAGACATGGGGAGATTAATCAGTGAGGAAAGTGGGATTGGAGCAACACGAGACCTGGGGAAATATCTCGGCATGCCGGTTCTTCAGAGACGCATAAACAAAGATACTTTCGGGGAGGTATTGGAAAAAGTAACATCACGACTCGCTGGGTGGAAGAGTCAAATGCTTAGCCTTGCCGGCCGTATTACACTCAGGAGATCGATGTTATCGTCTATACCAGTCCACACCATGAGTACTATTGTGCTACCTCATTCGACTGTGGCTCGTTTGGAAAGAAACGCTAGATCCTTCCTGTGGGGAGATACAGTGGAACATAGGAAGCAACATTTGGTGGCATGGGAGAAAGTCTGTACCCCAAAGAGCAAAGGAGGTCTTGGGATAAGGAGAATACAGGAAATGAACACAGCTCTTCTTGCAAAGTTGGGATGGCGGCTAATCCACGATGAAACCTCGCTTTGGGCCCGAGTATTGCGCAGCAAATATAAGGTGGTAGATGTTCGAGATGAAGCCTGGTTCACGAGAAAAGGTAACTTCTCATCAACATGGCGTAGTATATTAAAAGGAATGCGTGAGGTTGTGATCCCGGGAATCAGTTGGGTGATCGGTGATGGCACAAGTGTCCGTTTTTGGAAAGATAGGTGGCTCTCACAGACACCGATGATAGAGGAAGTGATAACAACGCCAACTGCAGAACTCAGTGAGGCAACAGTGTGTGATTTATGGCAAAGAGGGAGAGGTTGGATGGACTCTCAGATAGCACCATATATCACGGAAGACACAATTTAAGGCTGGTAACTGTAGTGCTTGACGAGTTTACCGGCGCGAGAGATAGACCATCGTGGGGTCAAAACGAGAACGGAGAATTCACAGTGAAATCGGCTTATAGCATCCTCACTCGGGATATGAGACCGAAACCGAATATGCAGACCTTATTCACAGGAATCTGGAGAGCGGTGGTGCCAGAACGGACGCGGGTTTTTCTTTGGCTGGTGGCAAACCATTCCATCATGACAAATCTGGAGAGAAGGAGAAGACACATCACTGACACGAGCCTCTATCAAGTGTGTAAAGGAGGAGAGGAGTCCACTATGCATATCCTTCGGGACTGCCCGGCAATGGCAGGTATATGGACTAGAATTGTGCCCGTTAGCAAACAAAGAGAGTTCTTTACTGCTCCGATCCTCAACTGGCTACATGACAACATTGGGAATAATACTGATATGGGAGGGCACACTTGGTCAACTCTGTTTGCGATATCCACATGGTGGGGATGGAAGTGGCGGTGCTGGAACGTGTTCGGAAATAGTGGCAAGTGCAAGGACCGCGTGAAGTTTTTGAAGAATCTCGCCACGGAGGTGTTCTCGGCACATGTGAAGCTCCGACAACAAACGAGTACATGCGTCCGAGAGGAGAGACATATAGCGTGGACTAAACCAGAGAATGGATGGTGGAAAATGAACACAGATGGAGCCTCACGGGGAAACCCAGGGCTAGCGGCTGCAGGAGGCATCCTGAGAGACGATCGTGGAGCGTGGGTGTGTGGGTTTGGCCTCAACATTGGAGTGTGTTCTGCTCCGCTAGCAGAGTTATGGGGGGTTTACTACGGCCTCTATACAGCTTAGGAGAGGCGCATTCCGAGATTGGTCATTGAGGTGGACTCGGAGATGGTTGTTGGCTTCTTTAACTCAGGGATTAGCGATGCTTATCCTCTGTCTTTCCTAGTACGTATGTGCTATGGCTTTTTGTCAAGGGACTTGATAGTCCGGGTTACGCATGTTTACAGAGAGGCGAATCGTGTGGCTGATGAGCTAGCGAATTATGCCTTCTCCTTTCCATTAGGTTTTTGTTCCTTTACCTCTGCTCCCGCTGAGATACAGCGCTGTTGTTACAGGATGTTGATGGCTCTACACGAGCTCGTTTTGTAAGAACTTAGTTGTTTCATTTAATAAATTGAGGGAGACTTAGTCTCCTCTCGCTTACCCAAAAAAAAAAATCATAATCAATATAATTAAACTGTTAAATTAAAAATATTTACAAATTGAAGAACTATTTTATAAATAAAAAAGTTCAATGGCAAAATAGCATATTGCATAATCTCATGCCAAATATAGAAGCAAAAATAGCATGATGTTATTTTGCAATAGCATATGCAATTGGGTTGGAGCAAAAATTATGGCAAAATAGCATATATGTCATATTTAGCATGGGGTTGGAGATGCTCATGCTAAATAACTAGGGGAGACCCGCGCTTCACGCAGGGACTTATATTGTTATGTTGATTTTATTATTTTTTCTTAAATTTAATTTAATTCTATGGTTTATTCATATTAATTAAATATAATTAGTGTTATGTAAAATTTCCGAAAATAAAATATAAAAGGTTACGCAAAAATTTTGAATCGTCCTTTCTCATTCCACCCATTTTGTTCCTTTTTTATCATCTCCGTTCTTTTCCGTCTCGTTCATCTCGTCACGTGCAATTCCATCTTATCTCATTCTGTTTCATCCCGTTTTGACTTTTCTTCTTTCCGTTTCTTTCCGTCCCGTCCCGTCCCTAAATATTATTAGGGATAGGAAAAATTCTCATCTTTTCCCATCCCATTATGTTCTTTTTCATCCCGTCATTTCAGTGCTATCTGTCCCATCTAGTCTCATCCTATTTCATTCTTTTTCTTCCTTTATCAGTAAATATTGTCTAAGTAAATATAATTAGGCTCTGATGGTCGGAGTGAATGGTTGGTGGTGTCGTTGAGGAAGAAGTTCAGGAAGAAGAAGGTCTATAATTTTGAGAACTTGGGCCGCTTCATTTTCGTGGCCCATTACACATTTTGATTGCTTCTGTTGTTGTTTGCTGATGTGGTGAACAATTGCCTACATGGCAGTCTCAGAAGAGACCCCAACTGTGTTTTATATATATAGGTAAGAGAGTTGCTCTCTCCATCTAAACCCTAAACCCCGAAGAAATTCTCTCCCGATTACACACAATCAAGCTATTCTGAGCGGATCGGAAAACGTAGAGCGAGTTTTGGAAAGAACAAAAAAAAACGAAGAGGGAAAAATTCAGAGAAGCTGCCACATGACCAACTCTCCCCGTGCTGACGTGTCGATCAGCTGGAGAGAGTTGGCCTCTTATTATATATAAGATAGGTAAGAGAGTTGCTCTCTCCATCTGCGGGGGAGTGTTAGACTAGATATATACGAATATGTATTAAGTTGAGTTAGGTAGAATATAATCTTGTATATTCCCTGAGATCCTACGTGATCCATATTGTGTAATCCCTTTATATAGGGTCTGTATAATACAATGAGGCATTGACCTCTATCCAAATTACATGGTATCAGAGACTTAGGTCTTCTTCTTCCTTCGAACTCTATTCTTTTCTCACTCTTCCTCTCCAGATTTTTCCTTTTCCGCTTTTCTCTTCTCTTCTCTTCTCTTTTCTTTTCTTGCAATCATGTCTGCCGCCGAAACTGCCGTGATCCCTGCACCACCGCCTTCCGACAAGCCATTCGGAATCTCTCAAATCAAAGCATACATTCCGGGCATCCTCGACATGACCAAGTTCAACTACGATCTATGGCGAGAACTCTTTGAGACGCATTGCTCCACTTTTGGTGTTCTTGAGCACATGGACGGTACAGGAAACCCTACTCCTGCGATTCTGAAAGCATGGAAAGAACGCGATGGCCTTGTCAAGATGTGGATCTACGGAACTCTCTCCGAGTCCCTGCTTGACACAGTCATCATGGCAAAGTGCACAGCACGAGAACTTTGGATCTCCATCGAGAATCTTTTCCGTGACAACAAGGAAGCTCGTGCTCTGCAATTCGATCACGAATTGCATACTGCAACCATAGGCGATCAGACGATCCATGAATATTGCAAGAAACTGAAAACCCTTTCGGACCTTCTTGCAAACATGGACTCCCCGGTGACCGATCGTGCCTTGGTTATGCATCTTCTGAACGGTCTCTCTGACAAGTTTGACAACATCATCAATGTCATCAAACACAAGGAGCCCTTCCCTTCTTTCTCTACTGCACGACCTATGCTGCTTCTCGAAGAAGATCGCCTTGCCAAACAAATCAAGCCACAGCCAACAAACAACAGCAACTCCTCCACTCCAAACGTGCTTTACACGGAAACTGATCCACCACCACAACACTCTTCTCCTCGGCCATCTTTCCCTCAGAACAGAGGATACAACAATCGTGGCCGTGGCGGACGTAACAACAGAGGACGGGGACGCTACAATAACTCGTGGCAGCATCCCCCCACCACCGTGGTCCTATGGTCATCCCCAATGGCCAATGCCTTACGGGTTTTCCCCGTATCCACCACAGCCCTCCTTCCCACCGCCTGCAACCAACTACTACCCTCTGCCTCCACAATCAAGCATCCTCGGTCCGGCTCCTCAGCCACAACCGCGCCATGAAGCTCACGTGACTCAGACTGCTTCTCCTTCACCTCCCGTTGCATCACCATCGGCCCAATCTCCTTACCTTCCGTCTGAGATTACTCATGCCTTCAATACTCTGGCTCTTTAGAACCCGGCCACCAACGGTTGGTACATGGACACGGGAGCCACAAACCACGTCACCGCGGATCAAGGTACCCTTCGTTCTGTCTTTAATACTAGAGCTTATCCTCCAGTCAAAGTCGGTAATGGATCCTATGCACCAGTTACTAATCTTGGCAATGGCTCAATTCCATCTCAATCTCGTGCTCTTTCTCTTCAAAATGTTCTTGTCTGTCCATCTATTATCAAAAATCTCATTTCGGTTAGACGATTTTCCATTGATAACAAATGCTCCGTTGAATTTGACCCTTGTGGCTTTGTTGTTAAGGATCTCAAAACCAGGACACCACTACTCCAATGTGATAGTCCCGGGCCTCTGTATGCGGTGACTCCATCAATAAAACCTCCACCTTCACCGCAAGCTCTCATCACATCATCCACAAATGGTGTCGTTTGGCATCGTCGCTTAGGTCATCCTGGAAACACTGTTTTACAATCTCTTGCTTCTTATGGCTTTCTTTCTTTCAATAAGACTGACATGACAACATTGTGTCATGCATGTCAAACTGGGAAAAATGTCCGACTTCCATTTACTTCCTCTTCCTCTATTATCACTAAACCTTTTGAAATTGTTCACTCAGATATTTGGACTTCACCAGTCTCTAGTTTTGGAGGAATTAAATTCTATGTCATCTTTGTTGATCAATTCTCTAACTATGTTTGGGCTTATCCTCTCAGGCGCAAGAGCGAAAACTTTAGCAAATACTTACACTTCTCTGCTCTTGTGCGTAACCAATTTAGATGCTCTATCAAATCTTTTCAGTGTGACAATGGTGGAGAATACAACAACCGTTTATTTCTCTCTCATCTTGCAGCTGAAGGCACTCAAATTCGGTTTTCATGCCCATACACTTCCCAGCAAAATGGCCGTGCTGAAAGAATGCTTCTCACCATCAACAATCTCATCCGTGCTATTCTTTTCCAAGCTCATATGAAGCCGGAATTCTGGGTCGAAGCTCTTCACACAGCCGTACACATACTCAATCTTCTTCCCTCCTCTTCTATTTCCAACGAGATTCCTTTCACTAAACTTTTCTCAAAACCTGCATCTTATGATCATTTAAGAGTGTTTGGTTGCTTGTGTTACCCTAATCTTTTTCCTCAGTCGCAGCACAAGCTCGCTCCACGATCCACGGCGTGTGTTTTTTTGGGATATCCGACAGATCATGGCGGATACCGCTGCCTTGATCTTGTCACCAAGAAAATCATTTTCTCACGTCATGTTCGTTTTGATGAAAACTTGTTTCCATTTCAGTCAGCGATAGTTTCATCTTCCCCTGTCGTCTCCCCAATAATAGATGTCCCGCCTTCCATTCCTCGAACTGATCTCATTCCAGTTCCTGAGACTCCACCACCACCACCTCTTGAGGCTACTCCTCCGCCTCCTCCTCCTCCTCCTCCATTGCCAAAACATTCAATGGTAACTGTGTGAACCGAAATCCGCACAATAGATTCAAGAGATGATTTGAGAGAGGAACTAGAAATTCTAAGTATAACACGAATCGAGATCCAAAGATGGTGATTTTATTGATGTAAAGTGTAAAGTGTTTTGCAATGGAAAAGTGATGATCGAACCCCTTTGGTTCGATCTCTATTTATACAAGGTATAGAACCGACTCTTTGCGAGATTCTCTAAAGATATTCTAAAGATTTCCTGTTATCTGTTGCGGCGCCGTTCCTTTGGTCTCTCACCATTGTCTAGGGCGAACTGTGAATCTCTTTTTTGGGCTTGGGCTCAAATCGCTAAGGATGGATGTCGGTTCGGCCCAAAGATAGTTACAGCTCGGCCCATACTCGATCGATCTCCTCTCCCTGTGGGCTCAATCGAATGCTGCTGCGTCGGGATCAGCTGGAGCTGCAGTGACGGGGTCGATCGAGCTGGTGCTGCAGTGACGGGATCGATCGTGCTGGTGCTGCAGTGACGGGTCGATCGAGCTACTGTTGCAGTGACGGGATCGATCGAGCTACTGTTGCAGTGACGGGATCGATCGAGCTGGTGCTGCAGTAACGGGATCGATCGAGCTACTGTTGCAGTGACGGGATCGATCAAGCTACTGCTGCAGTGACGGGATCGATCGAGCTGGTGCTGCAGTAACGGGATCGATCGAGCTACTGTTGCAGTGACGGGATCGATCGAGCTACTGCTGCAGTGACGGGATCGATCGAGCTACTGCGGTGGCAGAGCTCGTACCGGTACAGGTCGCCTTACTTTAGCTCTCCCTTCCTTACCATGCGTCATGCTTTATCGTTGAACTCGATGGGAAGTACTCCGACCCCAACAGTAACTCGGAGTAAGAGTGGTATTGTCAAACCTCGACAACAACTCTGTCTTCATACGTCTGTAGTCTCTCCTCTTCCCTTATCTCATATACAGGCAGCTAAGGATCCATACTGGAATGGGGCCATGAGCGAGGAATATAGCTCTCTTATTAAAGCACGAACGTGGGACTTAGTTCCGTGGCAAGTCGCTACTAACATTGTTCGCTCTCTTTGGAATTACAGGCACAAATTCAATGCAAACGGGGAGCTTACTCGCCACAAAGCAAGACTCTGTGCAAACGGGAAATCTCAGGAGCTAGGCGTTGACTGTGATGAAATGTTTAGTCCATTCGTTAAACCAGCTAGTGTAAGAACGGTTCTTCATGTCGCTGTTGCAAAAGATTGGCCTCTACATCAGCTCGATGTAAAGAATGCTTTCCTCAATGGCGATCTTGAAGAGACGGTTTACATGCACCAGCCACCAGGATTCGTGGATCCAACCAAACCAGATCATGTATGCCTCCTACGGCGCTCTCTCTCTACGGCTTGAAACAAGCGCCTCGAGTGTGGAACAATCGCTTTGCTTCATTTGCCAAAACAATCGGCTTCACTCAAAGTGTTAGTGATCCCTCCTTATTCATATACAGTCACGGCACTGACATTGCTTACTTGCTCCTTTATGTTGACGACATTGGTCTCACAGCTTCTTCGACTAAGCTCCTGCAATCTATCATTGCCGCTCTTCACAAAGAATTCGAGATGAGCGACTCTGGAGAGCTCCATTATTTTCTGGGAATCTCCATCAAGCGTAATGCATCTGGTTAAAGTTTGCAGCAACAAAACTATGCCGCATACATCCTTCACCGGGCGAACATGACGGATTGCAATCCCTGTTCCACTCCCGTTGACACAAAGGAAAAATTGTCTCTTGAAGGCGCACCGGTCTCTGACCCGACTCTGTATCGTAGCCTCGCAGGTGCTCTTCAATACTTGACCTTCACGCGACCGGATATTGCCTATGCAGTTCAGCAGGTGTGCCTCTTCATGCATGATCCTCGTGAGCCGCATTTCGCAGCTCTCAAACGTATCTTGCGTTACATCAAGGGAACTATCTCTCATGGACTTCATATCCACAAATCACCGGTGGATCAACTTATAGCTTACTCTGATGCGGACTGGGCCGGCTGTCCTTCGACTCGTCGTTCTACATCAGGCTATGGTGTTTTTCTTGGGGACAGTCTCATCTCTTGGTCGTCGAAACGACAACCTACGGTCTCACGCTCCAGTGCTGAGGCAGAGTATAAGGCAGTAGCAAATGCTGTTGCTGAGACCACTTGGTTGCGTAATCTACTCTGGTTTTCTGTGACAACATTAGCGCTGTCTACTTGTCCTCCAACCCAGTCAAACATCAGCGAACAAAACATGTGGAGATTGATATACATTTTGTTCGCGAATGCGTAGCACTTGGTCAGGTGAGAGTCATTCATGTTCCCTCTGCTTTGCAATATGCAGACATCTTCACTAAGGGTTTACCTGCTCCCCTATTTCTCGACTTTCGATCCAGTCTCAACGTCCTGAAACCTCCCGATTCGTCTGCGGGGGAGTGTTAGACTAGATATATACGAATATGTATTAAGTTGAGTTAGGTAGAATATAATCTTGTATATTCCCTGAGATCCTACGTGATCCATATTGTGTAATCCCTTTATATAGGGTTCTGTATAATACAATGAGGCATCGACCTCTATCCAACTTACACCCCTTCCCTAATGCGGAGCCTAATCTACAGTTTCAAATAATTCTAAAAACCTCTATTTTATCATTCTTGTCAACATAGTCAATAATCTACAGGGATCGATCCGACGTTAAGAACAGTTTTATTCCAGTAATACCTAAACATAAAAGAAGACTTTTTTCCTGAAAAACTTTAATAATCAGCAAAGAAACAACACACGTATAAATAGCTAGAAAGATGATATATGATCAACCAGATGGTCTAAAGATCGATAAGCCGAACCATTTTGTTTAACTGATCTTTCTACTTTCTCTTTAAGAAGTTTCATCCTCTCTCGGATTGCTTCTCCTTCATTTCCCAAGAACAAGCTCCTTATTGCTCTCTCGATCTCGTTTCTCTCGATCCGATTCTCAAGATGCATCCCGACCCTCCACACCTCACTAACAAATCTTGCATTTAAGAATTGGTCCCATATAAAAGGCAAACAGATCATAGGGACTCCTTCACAAACACTCTCAACAACCGAGTTCCAACCATTATGTGTGAAGAATCCTCCGACGGCTCGATGCTTTAGAACCTCTTGTTGTGGTGCCCATTTCACTATTTTTCCTTTCTCGTTAAGCCTCTCCAAGAGTTCTTGTGGGATTGTGCCATTGACCAAACCAACCCGTACGACCAACAAGAAAGGTTGGTCGCTGTTACTTAAGCCCCAAGCAATCTCAATTAACTCTGTTCTGCTCATTTTCGCGAGGCTACCGAAACTCACGTAAATAACGGATTTGTCTTGTTGTTTGTCTAACCATGGAATGCAAGTCTCGTCCTGTGTGAACAAGCTACTAGACGAGGCTGGAAAGTTGCTATGAGAAGGACCTATTGCAAACATAGGAAGTTTGAAATCTTCACGTGCGTGACTCAATGAGTCTTGCTCCAACTCTTCACAGGACATGGATATAATACCGGAAGACGACTTTGTCGTTTGGAAAATAGTATTCAAGTATGGCTCTAGTAGCTCTCTTTTTTCACCAAGAATCCGTAAAATATCTTTCTTTCGAAGTGGCGGGAACTCTTGAGCTTGATCATCTTTTTCGGAACCTGTTAACGAATTGTGATAAAAAAACAAATTACCACAATTCAGACAAAAATAATGGAAAATTATATGACTCAAAGGTAAATCTAATTCAACTAGAAATGTAACAATCGATAAGATTTCAAGTGACAATCAATCAGATATATAGTAAACTTTTTACAAAAAAAAAAAAGTGTCAATCAATAGATTTCAGCACAATTAAATATTTACCCCTAATTTGCTAAATTATAAAAAGGAAAATATAAAGTATGATTAAAATAATATATATCATGTAAATAAAAATATGAAAATTAATTCGTTGAAGATTTGGGAAAAAAAGAAAAACAGATGTATGAATATAACCAAATAAAAAAACAATTAATCCAAGTATGAATATGAAAAATAAATATTCAGAACATGTAACAAAAAATTAAACTGAAAACCAAAAGAGTAATTAAAAATAAGAGATCTAAAATCAATGAATATCAATATGTTAGACTTTTCAATCCTGCTTTTTTATTTGATGGCTTAATATAATTGTTTCTTTGGTTTTTGCTCAACATAAATAGTAAAGCTAGAAATAACAGTACCTTGCAACAGAAGATACTCTTCACGGCGAATACTAGGAAGAACAAAATGACTACAAAAGAATGAGATCGAGTACCCATTAAGAACCAATCTAGGGAGTTTCAAACTCTTGGCTACAGATTCTGTGAAGATCCATCCAGAATCATGGATCAAACAGCTAATTTTCTCTTTATGTTCCTCTGTCTCTGAATCTGTATACTGCAAAAGCTTAGTCAAACATTCACGAAACGGAGTCTCACATCCTCGGTTGAGAAGAGTGAAGAGCAAAGTGTTGTCGTCAGTTATTGTCTCTGTTTCAGACAAGCCGTCTTGGATCTGTAAGAAGGTGAAGAGAGGATGGCTTGAAGCTTTTGGCGCGTTGAAGCGTGTGTGTATCAAAGTGATGGAGAAACCTCTTGAGTGGAGGATCTTGGCGAGCTGAATCATGGGGTTGATGCATCCTTGTACTGGAAGTGGAAACAGAATCACTCGTCGTCTATTACTCTTCTCCATTCAAGATCTCTCTCTCTCTCTCTCTCTCTTTTTTGTTTTTTTTTTTTTTTTTTTTTTTCTGATCCAAATCAAGATCTCAGTGTGTTATTCCCTTTTGAGATAATATATCATAACATAAGAAATTAATGTAGTTAATTTTTTATCACGTGAAAAGTGGAGACAAAACGTTACCTATTTTATTATGCCTGTAAAGAAAGACAACAAGTCAAAAACTAATTAGTGGTCCAAATTTATAATAAAGTATAAATATGTTTGGTATAGTTTGGGGTTCATACATTTAGATCCGTTGTTTGTGCTGATATATTAAATTTATTAATAAACAAATTAACTTGTTGGTCTGAAACTCTGCATGTAGACAGGTAACAGGCCACTTCGCACCACGTTGTTATAACCATTTTATTATTTTTTTCAAACTAAGAAATTGCTCATTCAGGGATTCGATCCCAAGTCCTCAATGTTAGAAGCTATGAAGCTTACCACTAGTCTACATCTAGAAAGACTGTAAAATGTTGGCTTTTTATTTTAACAACCGTAACTGGAAGTTTAACCATTAACACAAATTGAACCAAGTATTCAAATTTAACCCAAATTAATTTAGTAGGGTGTATATGGGTTTGTCTGCCTCCACCAAATTTTCGGACACTTTGTCCACGGTTTATAGTAAAATCACATGAATTTTCTTCTTCTTTAATTCTAATAATTTCAATACTTTTTATTAAATAAATAAAAAATTAATAAAACAAAACCAAATCAAACAAAGTATTTGTTCTTAATTTATAAATGGATAACCAAAAACCATAATATTTTAACCCGGAAATATTAAACCACACCAAATTAAATATGATTTTAATATGGTAACTATTTTTATATTAATAAAAAAATGAAAACCGAAAAACTTCAAACTAAACAAGTCCATCTCCATATGATTAATCTTCACAGTGCAGCTTATTCACAAGGCTCTTCAAAACACCGTCTGACCCAAAATGAATGATGAAATCGTCATTACCCACAATCACAGGTCCTGGAAGCTCGAAAGAGATTGTGAAGGGGCCTGGAGGACATAAGTTATGCTAGCATCTTGAACACCTGACTGTGCCTGCAGACCGTCTCCTTCCCCATTGTTGTTATTCCCTTTATCATAACTGTGCCCTCTGGTTCAATATTGCAGCTGAAGTCCTCTGTATGTTAGATTCAACAGAAATCAGATTACAAAGCGCAAATTATCTATGTTCTCGAATGCTAAAGATTGAGACTTACTTTCATCTGGGGAAACACTTGGCAGTGCAACACGAAAGAAATATGTGTCATCAGATTCAGCTATATCAATTTCACCAATAGGAAATCCAATCTTCCCCATGGATGCACTTCCCGTGAGGGCAACAACACAGATTTTCGTTTGATCGATAATGTTATAAAAATCTGCATTTGGTCCATAAGGCAGGAATGTCACTGATGGCCCTTCTTTCTTCTCTCCATTCTCATTCGCCTTGTTATTATCTGATGACATGGATGTATGAACGCTTGATGGACCGTTGAAAGGCATAGTGTTTATTGGAGTCACTTCATTCACTGGTGGGTTAAGGCTTACACTAATTGGAATTAGAAATTAGCTATTCTAGCGACAAATCAACTAAAAAAAGCAAAACGTTTCACATAACTAATTGCAGTTCGTGAAAATAGACAAAATTCTTAAAAAAAATATATTTTTTTTTACTATAACGAACAAAAACACAAAACCTTTTCGATTTTATACAACACATGAAGGAAATAAAAAGTTTGAGGAATATTCTTAGGCAAATTGAAATTATTTACCTCATCAGAGTTGTTTATACGGATTCGCCAGCTGAAATTTATGAGGAGCTTTTTTTTTTTTCCCCTTTTCTACGAGATTGGAAGATTAAGAAGTGTAAGAAAATCGGTATATAATCGACATAATCAAATCGTCTTCGTCAATTGGGTTAGTTTTTCTTTTCTACATTTTTAGTCATTGCATATATTAATGTTGAAACAACAATACAATACGGAATTGAGAAATGAGAAATTGAAACATTACATAAACAGAAAAAAAGAAAAAAGAAGTTGAAGATTTACCAAAAAACTTGCACCAAAGAAGATAGCTAGCTCTAGTTACTTTAAGAGATTTAGCATTGAAAGTGATAGATCTGAGAAAAGAGAAAGCTTGAGAGAAATAGAAGAAGGTAGAGAAAAGATTGGAGACGGCGGCAGGATAAGAAATAGATTAGTGTAATGTGGTAATTAAGGAAACCCTAAAACACTTCGACTCCTTAAATAGTGAACAATAATAATAAACGACATAGTTTTAATTGGGGAAATTGGCAAAGTACCCCAAAAAAAGGCACTGTTGTCCTTTACCCTTTTTTTACTTTGGCCATTTTTTGCCTTAATTGCCCTTCAATATTGTTAAAACCTCATAATGAATATTTTTTTAAGTGAACAAAATTTCTAAAATTCCTAAAAATGATGTCAAGAATGTGTAAAATAGTTGAACATTTTTTAAAATGTTTTGGATGGTTAGAAAATTCTTTGAAGTTTTTGTTCTACAAAGTAAATTATCAAAGCAGAATACGTTTTCTACAAGATATTCGCACGTCTAACCGCCGTAGAATATGATATCTACAACTTCTTCATTCATCTTCCGGATTAGACTTCGATATCTACCATATACAATACACTCTACCATTTTGTAGAATTCGCTCCAAATATATTCTACAGAATACACCATCCGCTACTAATCGTAGATTTCAAATTCTATGGTAAACACTGCTATCTACCGGTCCTAGTTTTCGTGTACTACATATTTCATGTTTTTCTGCATGGCGTAGAACCAGTGATCTACTAAAAAGAAGACTTCTACAATCCGCAGTAATCGTGTTTCCACTGGATGTTCTACTAAATAGGTGAGTTCTACATTTTGTAGAGTTCAACTTCTGCCAAAATCGAGAGAATATTGCAACCAAATATTTTTCAAATCTTTGTTTCCTTATTTTCCTCCAACTATCCGAAAATATACCACGACTAATCCTCCATGTTCTTCCTCGTCTTCTTCATCCCCTTCCTCCTCTGTAGTCCTCTATCTCTCTATCTTTCTTAACTAATATGGTTCAAATCTATGTAGCTTGTGGTTCATGGAAAATGTTTTAATTTATTTTAAAATAAATAAGGTTCAAATCTATGTAGCTTATACTTTGATATTTTAGAATTGTAGAACAAAACTTCAAAGAATTTTCTAACCATCCAAAACAATTTTAAAAATATTCAAATATTTTACACATTCTTTAGATCATTTATAGGACTTTTAGAAATTTTATTTATTTTAATTTTAATTTTTGATTTTTTGTTTTATTTTAATTTTAATTTTTTAAATCGAAAATGTTTAAATTTCTAAAAAAACATTATCAACTCAATTTCAAGGTTAAAAATGGACAAATTGCCAAAAAAAAGTGTATTGAGACAAAGATCAAATGCAAAAGTGTAATGGGACAAGGAAGCCTTTTTTTGGAGTATTTTGGCAATTTTCTCTTAATTTAATGAAAGATAAGAGATACTATATTTCACTTCGAGTCTTTACTTGGCTTAACCATTTTGGTAGTAGTTATTTTCTTGAATCTCTTTACTTTTCTTCTCGATATTTTTTTCTTCTTCATGATTGTCATTCATAGGAACTGTAAGCTTAAGCAACTCCAAGATAAGGGACAATATTGTCAAAATAATTTGTATATGATGTAGTTCCACAATGGCATGCTTAAGAAGTAAAACATTAAACACCGAATAGATTTGACTATGAAAAGAAATCTTTAATTTATATGCAGTCTTTCTATTTTTCTGCATCATTTCAAATGGATCAAAGTATTGAGATGCCAACTTCATATTTATGTGCATAACTGTTGAAGTTTGATGGTAGGGCCATAGCTTCAAATTCACCATATCTCCAACCGCAAACTCTAATTTAATGATAATGCTTACCGCAAACTCTAATTTAATGATAAATATGGGATGACCCGCGCTTCGCGCGGGGATTTATATTATTATGTTAACTTTATTATTTTTCTGCAAATTTAATTTATTTTATGGTTTATTATTATTTTCAAAAATATTATACACATATTAATTAAATATAATTAGGGTAAGGCAAAATTCTTGTGCCGTCATGTTCCATCTCGTCCCATTTTGTTTATTTTCATCATGTATATTCTTACCCGTCCCGTCCGTCCTGTTTGTCCCTCCCCGTCCTGTCCCATCATATCTCATTATGTTTATTTCTATTTAGTTATGCATAATTATTGTCTCGTTTCGTTAAATAAAATTAGGGCTGGGCATAATTTATCTCTCATTCCATTCCATCTTGTTTTTTCCGTCTCGTTTCGTCATGTCCTATTCATATCCCTTTTATTCTCATCCCGTTCATTTCCTTTATGTTATTCTTTGTCATGTTTCTTCTCGTCTCGTTCTGCCCCGTCCCATTCATTCCCATCCTGTTTTGTCTCGCTCCATTCATTTTTTTCCGTTATGTCTCGTCCTATTTCTTCTCATCTAGTTCCACATCGACCCATTCATTTCCATCATGTTATGTTTCGTCCTATTCATGTCCTTTATCGTTATATATTTTGTTTTTTTTCTTCTCGTCTCGTTCCGCCTCGTCCCATTTATTCCCATCCCGTTTCATCACGTTCATTTTCTTATTATTTATTTATATATATATATATATATCAATTGGACAAATTATTAAATTAGAATTTGTTTAGATTAATATATAAACTATTTTCTTATACAAAATGACTTTTCAAATTCTATTCCAATCTATTAATTTAATATTATTATTGTTGATATCTTTAGAATAAAATTCGAAGAAATTAAATTGTTGTGTTCCAAATTATAAATATAGTAATTAATTAGCAAGGAAAAATAGAGGATTTTTCAGAATTGGGCCTCAAAAGGTTAAGAAATTTGTGCCCCATTATGTCAAATTTCCAGATTTATTAAGTGTGTTGCCTGCTGACGTGGCGAAATGTTGCATACGTGTCACATGCAGAAGAGACCCCAACTGTATTTTATATATATAGATACTTATTAGCTGTATTCTGAGTTTGCTTTTGAACTTTGTACAAATTTTCTCTTATCCAGAATAATCCAACTCCAATATGCCCTTTTATTGCAACTAGAGAAATAACTTGCGTGTTGCGTGGAATTAAATTTATATTAATTATTTTATCTTTTTTTTGTTTTAATTTTTAAAGTGATTTTTCAAAAACACTAGATGATCTAAACTCGTTCAAATACTTAAAACAATTTGTTGCATGGACATATTAGTCATAACAATATTTGAGACATTCAAAATTAAGAATATCCAAAAACAAATTTCCTAAGATGTTAACTACACATCTTTTCCTGGAATTTTTTTCTCTTTCCAAAAACTTTTGCAACTTTAAATATTTTTGTATGTTCATTTCCGTGAAACTATAAACATTTGACTCAAATATGTTGTAGAATTGCATTTCATATATTATAGTAAAAAATAAGAATATGTATATCTCTAACAAGCTCTCACATTTTGAGGGGAGCAAAACTTCGTTTTTTTTTTTTTTTTTTTTTTTTTGACAACAGCTTAAGTTCCTAACGCGGTTCGGGGGTCGAAAACACTAGATGATCTAATATCCTAACTCGTTCAAATACTTAAGAAAATTGTTGCATGGACATATTAGTCATAACAATATTTGAGACATTCAAAATTAAGAATATCCAAAAACAAATTTCCTAAGATGTTAACTACATATCTTTTCCTGGAATTTTTTTCTCTTTCCAAAAACTTTTGCAACTTTAAATATTTTTTATGTTCATTTCCATGAAACTATAAACATTTGACTCAAATATGTTGTAGAATTGCATTTCATATAATATAGTAAAAAATAAGAATATGTATATCTCCAACAAGCCCTCAAATTTTGAGGGGAGCAAAACTTCTTTTTTTTTTTTTTTTTTTTTGACAACAGCCTAAATTCCTAACGCGGTTCGGGAAGCGAGACCGGTGGAACTGAGTTGATATAATACACATCGTAAGGCTGAGCTCGTGCACTTCGTGCTAACTTGTCTGCCTTTGTGTTCTTTGTTCGTGGTATGTGGGTTAAGGAGAACGTCTTGAACTGCCTCCTGCACTTCTCAACCTCTTCAAGTAGATTTGCAAATGCCAGCCACTCCCGAGGTGCGGACACCATCTTCACCAAGTCTGTGCAGTCCGTTTGAAAATTCATTCGCTGTTTATTATGGATTAGCATACACTGCATTGCCCAGCTAGAGCTTCCAGCTCTGCTGTAAAGGTGATAACCCTCGCCTTAGATTACAAGCACCCACTAAAACAGACCCGAATCTGGGTTAAAATTGAACCAACCTAGTCCCACCCGACAATCTGTTTCCTTCCACGCCCCATCTACTTGGCACCATTCAGCCACTAAATTTGGTTCCGTGTGAGGGACCAAGTTCCGTGATTCCCTCGCGGGCACCGTTTGGGCAGCCGCCCATGCACGGGCCTCAGTTATTGCCGATTCAAGGACATCTCTCGGGTCCTGATCATCGTTCGAAAATACCTTATAGTTCCATTCTTTCCAAACAAACCAAGTAACCATGGAAATTATCATATCCTCATTATCTGGTAGGTTCCAGAATAAATGTGCCATATTTGAGAAAAGAGATCCCGTAGGGAAGCATTGTGGGGGTGGCATTCAAAGAGCATATGGTTTATAGTCTCATCGGCCATCCCACATCTCACACATTGTCGATCCACTCGCATTCCTCGACTACATAGGCGTGCGCCAACAGATAAACATCCAGTGATGATTTGCCAGAGAAAATGCTGGAGTTTTGTTGTGCATTTTACCATCCATGACTGTGCTTGCAGTTTCCGTGTATCCGGGCCAAAGACCGGAAGAGCCTCAGCTTCCGTTAACTCTTGTAACAAACTATACCCCGATTTGACCGTATACCGACCCGTTTTTGTAAATATCCATCCACAAGGATCGGGTTTGGAACTGGTTGCAATTGTGATACCAGTGATACGAGCAATCTCTTCACTCTCAAACAATTGGTGTAATAGTGGAAGGTTCCACGTTGATGACCGAGAATTAATTAACTGACTCACCATTAACTGGGGGTAGAAATTAAAACCCTTGCAAATAGCTGACCTCGGGCGAGAGTCAGAAATCCAAGGATCATACCATACAGAGATAGACGATCCTGAACCGACTCTTTTAATAAGCCCTTTTTGAACCAGAGGTCGAGCAGAGATAATACTCTGCCATCCATATGACGAAGAGTAAGATCGTATTGGGTCCATGGGAGACGAGTTCCGATAGTATCGTCCCTTGAACACTTTAGCGAAAAGGGATTCCGGATTATCCATTAATCGCCATAATTGTTTTGCTAGTAAAGTCGTATTGAAATCCTCGATGACTCTGAAGCCTAAACCCCCGTCCCTCTTGTGTCGACACAGTTTTCTCCAAGCTAGCCAATGCATTCCCCGTGTTTCAGAGTTTGTACTCCATCAAAAATTAGCCACCGCGCTGGTTAATTTATTTGCAATCCCTTTGGGTAACCAAAAACATGACATTACATGTGGGCATCGCCGATAGTACTGACTTTACCATTACCTCTTTTCCCCCTTTAGAGAGAGTCTTTGAAGTCCAGCCGTTTATTCGCTTTTGTTGTCTATCAATGAGGAAGCTGAAGATTTTCGTCTTCGCCCCTCCTAAACTTTCCGGTATACCAAGATAATTACCCACTCCTCCAACCTTATAAATTCCCAACAACAACTGATGGATTGCTGTGCGTACATTTATATCGACGGTATGGCCAAATTGGATAGAGGATTTGTCAAAATTTATTTTTTTTGTCCTGACGCGCATTCGTAGAGTTGTAGGATTTTTAACAATACCACACTTTTCTCTACTGTCGCTTTACAGAAGAACAAACTATCATCCGCGAAAAGTAAGTGTGAGACTGGCGGGCTTGCACGGGCTACCTTCAGACCCGTCAAAACTTTCAAACTTGCCGGTTTCTATAGATTGGAAATGAGAACTTCAGTGCATAGAATAAAGACATAAGGAGATAATGGATCCCCCTGTTCTTAGCCCTCTATGTGGAACAATTTTTCCCCGCGGTTGTCCATTGATTAGGACCTTATATTCTACCGATTTGATGCACATCATAATCCATCGGATCCATTTGTCTGCAAACCCCATCTTCCGCATTGTTGCCTCCACAAAATCCCACTCCACTCGATCATATGCTTTACTCATATCCGTCTTAACTGCCATGTATTTTCCTTTACAGGACTTATTCGTCCGTAGCCCGTGAAACATCTCCTGTGCGATCAAAATATTATCTGAGATAAGTCTCCCTGGGACAAAAGCAGACTGAGTCTCAGAAATTAACCGAGAAAGCACTTTCTTAAACGCTCACATAGGACCTTTGAGAGAATCTTATAACCCACGTTACAGAGACTAATCGGGCGTAACTCTGTCATTCGGGTGGGTCTTTCCGTTTTTGGAATAAGACAAATATTCTTCATATTTAATCGAGTATCAAACTGGCCCGAAGTTAGAAAATCATTTATAAAACCCATAATATCCGCTTTGATTAGTTGCCAGGACTTTTGAAAGAATAAAGCTGTCATTCCATCGGGCCCTGGGGCCTTTTCCGGATTCATCAAAAATAACGTTGTACGAACCTCCTCTTCCGACGCTGATTTTGTTAGCAAAATATTGTCCGTTTCTGTAACGATTTCTGTAATCCCCTCCAAAACCTCAGAGAAATCTCCTGGTGAGGTGGTGTTAAAAAGATCGGAGAAATACTCAACCGCCACCTTTTCCATCTCCCTATCCCCTGTAACCCAAATATCTGTTTTATTATGTAGCCCGACCATCCTATTAATTGCCCGTCTTTGCTTTGTTGTTGCATGGAAAATTTTTGTGTTGAAGTCCCCATCTTTTAACCATAAGTTATGGCTCTTTTGTTGCCAATATTGTTCCTCATCCCTATAAGCTTCCTTCAATTTGTGTGTAATATAAACTAACTCCTCTTGAGTCAGGTGGTCGTCGTTCTGGACATCTTCCAAGAGTTTCTGTAACTCTGCAATTTTGTCTTAACCATATGGTTTGTGATCATATCTCCATCGTGAGATCCCATGCCGACAATTACCAATCATATCAGCTAGTCGGGGTTCCCGATTTTTTTTGTGATTTTTCCAACCTCGTTCAACCGCCTCTGAAAAACCATCGTGCTCAATCCATCGCTTGTCAAAGCGAAAACGCCGCCTTCCCTTTGGTATTTTGTTGTCTATAGTGGCTAGAATTGGTCGATGGTCCGAACCTATCATTTTTAAATACTCCACATGTGATTTCGGGAAAATATCATGCCAATCTTATGTGGCCAAAGCCCTATCCAACCGACATCTCACAATCTTCCCTCATCTCCTTCCCCTCCACGATAGGGTATTTCCATGGTTCGGGAAATCTACTAAACCGCAATCATCAATCATAATATTGAAAGACATGAAAGTAGAAGCATACCTAATTTTTCCTCCTTGTTTTTCGTGATTTCCCGTAATTTCATTGAAATCGCCAATTAAAAACCAAGGTTCATTTCTATTAATCCCTATTCGTGTTAACTTTTCCCACAAGTAATCTCTTTGTTTCGGGACCGGATTTTCATAGACAAATGTCATAAACATTGTTTTACCATCAATAGTAACTTGTGTATCAATTAAATTCTTTGAAGAGGTGATAATTGAAACATTGAAACTATTATTAAAAAATAAGGCTAGACCACCACTTGTGCCACATGGGTCAACCGTGTACAAATTATCAAAGCCAAAATGAAATTGAAATTGTTGCAAAAAATTAAAATCCTGCTTTGTTTCGGAAAGAAACAGAAATTCTGGCTTGAACTTCCACCAAACTTCCCGAAGATAGCTTATTGTGAACATGTTCCCAAGACCTTGGCAATTCCAGCTTAACACCCGCATCAAACAGCGTGATGAGTCGTCTCAGATCCTTCTGACGGATCTTTCTCCGGTCCACTCCCCGTCGCCATGTCCCCGATACGAGTTCCCTCTTTAGACACCGGTTTCTTCTTTGGTGTCTTTGCTCCCTGTAGCATGCGTTTCAGAGAGCCGCCAACACCCACCGGTGGTTTTGTAACCTCGCGCCTTGCTCCAACTTTCCGCTCAGCCACGTGTTTCTGCTTCCCAGTCTCTTTGGCCTCCACATCCATAAACCTCTCCACCCCGAGACTGTTCTCCACCTTTTCAACTTCGTCTAGAGCCATCTCTTTCGCCTCTTGGATCTCCAAAAGCTCTTCAAACTCCTCCATCGTTTTCTCAACCTCCGCTTCCTCTATCACCTCGTTCCACCAAGTCTCGCCTTCCTCCCTCTCCTCCTGCGCCATTTGTTCCAAAATCATTGGATCAGCCACCGGCTCTGTCGCCGTGATCACCGCAACCTCATTCTCACCGACCATCTCCCTCTCCCCATTGTTTACGCCGTCTCTTATCTCGTCCAATTCCGCCACTGCCTCCGTAAAATCAATCGCTTTTCGGACCTTCTTCGCCGAGTGTTGACTTGGGCTGATACGATTCCCTCCAGTTCTCTCTGTGATGGCATCACCACCCGGATGAGTCTCAACTTGATGCGCCGGATGTCCCGGGATTGCCATTGGTCTGTTTATCCTCTTCCTCTGCTCCGGGGGGAGATAACCTGCCGGCTTTCTTTGAACACCGGAGCTTTCATCTCCATGTTTTCCATTACCCCGAAACGCCACATTCCTTTTGCCTCTATCCTCTCGAGTTTCCACCTCCTTTCCCTTGCCCTTTGGATCACCCACATGATGGGCATAAGGCTGTCGCACGCCACTGGAATCCCCGTGTGGTCCATTAATGACCACACCCTTGTAACTCATCACCCCACCATCCGGTTTTTCATCCCTCCTCTTCAAACTTTCACGTTCCTCTCTGACTCGTCTCACTGTAGCATATTCTCGAAGCGTGAGCACCATTTCTTCTCCACTATGGAAGGCCACCGTTGTCTCAAAAGTCAGAGGTTTATACCCATCAAGGCAAACCTTGACTCGTCCGCCATCAATATCGACCTCCAAAACCTCTCCAATGGCCTCTCCAATGCTCTGAAATGTGGGTTCTGCCCAGAAGTGGAGTAGGATTCCCATCATCCGGACCCAAAACTTGATCGCCGATGGGTATGTAGGCTCCATCACTGGTTCCCACCTCACCAACGCCACCATCCAGTAATCAAAGTGGAAGGGCTCCAATTTGAAAACCTCCGTAATATCCTCTTCATTCTCGAAACCAAACTGAAACCGGAGAGCAAAACTTCATTTTAAGGATTTGAAGGTGGTTTGCTCCAACAATGAATCTTAAAAAAAATCCTTAAAAATTAATTAATTTGCAATATAGTCCTTAATGTTAACAAAAACCTACTAAGACTGATAAAAGTTCATAAATAAATTTAAAACATACACTTAATATATTATATAACATATATAATTACTTATTATATTATTATACAACACACCATATTACACAATAATAGTAACATGATAATATAAATTACATATATAATAATAAAACACACATAAGTTAAAACTAGTTTAATAAACACAAATTTTTTTGTTGTGTAAACTTTGTTTGATATATTTTCTTTTAAGTGAACTTTTTTTTAAACATAACATTTCTTCTTTTTTATTTAAATATACTTTATTTTTCAAATTAAAGTTTAGTATACTTATTTGTCAAAAATCATAATTGTATGGACTAAATAGAAAGAGACAAATAGTTTTGAAGTTTTGAATAGTGAAACCTCAAATTTGAGGTTTCACTATTCAAAACCTCAAAATTTGAGGATTTGAGGGTTTGTTGGAATGCCAAAAACCTCAAAATTTGAGGATTTGAGGGCTTGTTGGAGATGCTCTTAGTTTTATAAATTTCAGTGGAACAAAAACTCGACTTCTATTGGTTAAAAAAAAAGAAAAAAAAATAGACTTACTTTATCATATTTCAATTATATTAAATAAATTATATTATACATTTTTAACTTAAAAACACATTACAACATGTTAAAAAGGGGTAAATCCTCTAAACATCTTTTCATAAAATATCTAATTATATATACTCCCTATATCCCAATTTATAAGTTGTTTTAGCAAAAAGTGAAAAATTAAGGTAAATGTTTTTCTTTCGTAAAATATTGTTTATTATATTAACTAAATAAAACTAACCAATCAACAAAGTATAATTGGGTACACAATATCCCATAAAGTATAAAGTGCATTGGTAAAAGCAAAATGCTTATATTGTGGGACAAATTTTTTTTCTAAAAAGGGAATATTATTTATAGTAAAATATTTGATAACTTTCTCTTTCTCTCTAATTTACATAATTTTCTTTAACTTTTTTTTATCCCACACTTTTTTTTATTACTTAATTTTTTTGTTTCTCAGTTTTATTTATGTTTTATATGAAAGTACAAAATATGAATGAAACCATATTTGGCTTATGTAATATGAACCTATTCGTAACGGGAACATATCACATTGAAATTCTCCCAATCTATGCATTCACTAACATAAACAGACTAAAATAATCACTCAAAGTTTCATCAGATATATAACCAATCAGAGAAAACACACAAGACAAAGTTACACAAACGCATAAATCTGTCTCGCTGCCGTGTTTAATGGGACAATCCAACTGAGAGCTACTAAATTAGTCTGCCATATTATCAAAAGCACATGTTTCAACGAACACACATAAACTAATAAGTAGCTTAACACACATAATCCTACATAGCTTATTACACAACTCTTAAACAACTATTGATCAGTCTTCATAGTAGAGCTTCTTCACTAACCCCTCAAGAACACCGTCTGACCCGAAATTACCGTTGAAATCGTCACAGCTCACAGGTCCCGGAAGCTGGAAAGAGATTGTGAAGTGTCCTGGAGGGCAAGAGTTCTGCGTTATCATCTTGAACACCTGATTGTGCCTGCAGATCGTCTTCTCCCCCGTTGTTGTTATTCCCGTTATCATAATTTTGCCGTCTGGTTCTATCTCGCATTTGAATTCCTCTGCACAAACATGTCAAACACATCAGAAGAGCGCAGGATTCAAGAACTTGGTAAAAGATTGAGACTTTACTTTCATCTCTTGAAACGCCGGGAAGTGAAACACGGAAGAAGTAAGAGTCATCTGATTCAGCAATATCAATCAAACCAACAGTATATCCAATCTTCCCCAAGGCTGCACTTCCAGTGAGGGCAACAGCTCCGGTTTTCGCTTGATGGACAAGGTTAAGAAACTCTGCGTCTGCCTCAGAAGGCAGTAATATCATTGATGGACCTCCTTTTCTCTCTGCATTCTCATTCGCCTTGTTGTTACCGGACATGGATGGACCGACGTAAGGCATGCTGTTCAATGGAGTCACTTCAATCACCGGTGTGTTCTTTGTGTTGTCGGGAACACTCTTCTTTTCTTTCTTCCCAGTTTGTGATCTTGAAGACCTGAAAGCAAAACAATCCCTTTTATCATACATCAATTCTTTCAACACAGCAGCGACTGTTACTGAACAAAAGACTCAATCTTGAAACCATAAAGGCTATTAAAAATGATAACTTTCAACAAGTGGTAGCAAAATCTTAAGCCATAAGCAAGATTCAACAGGCAAGCAAGATCTTTATCCATAACACAGTAACACACATGACAGCAAGCTAAAGTTTTCGATTTGACAAGGACAAAGCAAAGCAATTCCTTTTATCACTTGCAAAACTACATACATTGATTCTTTTGATACAGCAGCGACTGGTACTGAACAAAAGACTCAATCTTGAAACCTTAAAAGCTATTAAAAATGAGAACTTTCAACAAGTGGTAGCAAAATCTTAAGCCATAAGCAAGATTCAACAGGCAAGCAAGATCTTTATCCATAACACAGTAACACACATGACATCAAGCGAAACTTTTGGATTTGACAAGGATAAAGCAAAAAAAATTCCTTTTGTCACTTGCAAAACTACATGCATCGATTCTTTTAACACAGCAGCGACTGTAACTGAACAAAAGACACAATCTTGAAACCTTAAAAGCTATTGAAAATGAGAACTTTCAACAAGTGGTAGCAAAATCTTGAACTATATAGATTTAACAGGCAAGCAAAATCTTAATCCATAACACACATTACTATAGGCTAACAATTTCGATTTTGACAAGGAAAATCAACAAACCGTGTCCTTACCAGACTAAGTCTTGAGGAAAACACTATCAAGCAACATATCTATCTCAATTTCCAATTGAATTTCAACGGAAAAATGAAAACTTTTTTGTGACCATGAAAGCATAAATCAGACCCAAAAAAAAGAGGTACGTTTTTTATGCTTTAATGGCCACGAATTAGATGAAGGAAGATGCAACCCTACAATATAAACAAGGAATTTTCCAAGAAACTGAAAGATCAGACATGAAATTCCGTAAATTTCATTCTTTTTAAGACTTCTTTCTCAGTTTAGAATCTAAACAAGTTGAGAGTGGAATTCCCATTTTTAACAGTGTTGGGCACACAAAGATTTAAGCTTTCGAGCAACAAATCAGCAAAAGAAAGTAGATTTTTTCACAAAACAAATTTCAATCAGTGAAAATGGACAAAACCCCAAAAGGAAATTTATATTCTTTCACTAGAACGAACGAAAACTCAAACCCATTCGATATATACAGCAAATGAAGGATATAAAAGACCATGAGAAGTAACAAATTGAGGAAATTTTTTGGGCAAATCGAAATTTTGTACCTCATCGGAGTCGTTGTTCAGAAGTCGCTGGCTGAAGTTTACGAGGAGCTTGTTTGGTCTTTTTCTTTCCCTTTTAGCTTTTCTGCTAGATCGGAAGAAAATGAAAGGGAGAAATAATAAAAATGTGAAATCACATATAATTACCAGTTTACCACTATGGTATATGGGTTTATAGTAAAAGCACATGAATTTCTTCTTCTTTAATTCTGATCATTTCAATATTTTTTTACTAAATAAAAAATAAATTACCAAATAAATAACACAAAATCAAATCAAACAAAGTACTTGTTCTTAATTTATAATCGAATAACCAAAAACCATAATATTTTAACCGAAAATATCTAAACCGAACAGAACCAAATTAAATATGAATTTAAAATGGTGGCTATATTTTATTAACGAAAAATCGGAAAATCGAAAACTTTAAACTGAACAAGTCCATCTCCATATGATTAATCTTCATAGTGCACCTTCTTCACAAGGATCTCAAGAACACCATCTGACCTAAAATTAATGAAGATATCGCCATTGCCCACACGCACAGCTCCCGGAAGCTGGAAAGAGGTTGTGAAGGGGCCTGGAGGACAGGAGTTATGGGTTATCATCTTGAACACCTGATTGTGCCTGCAGATCGTCTCCTCCCCAGTTGTTGTTATTCCCTTTATCAAAACCGTGCCGTCTGGTTCTATATTGCAGCTGAAGTCCTCTATATGTCAGATTCAACAAAAATCAGATTAAAAAGCTAAAATTATCTCTCTTCTCAAATGCTAAAGACTGAGACTTACTTTCATCACGGGAAACACCAGGCAGTGAAACACGAAAGAAGTATGAGTCATCAGATTCAGCTATATCAATCAAACCAACAGTATGTCCAATCGTCCCCATGGCTGCACTTCCCGTGAGGGCAACGGCACCGATTTTCATTTGATCGGTAAGATTATGAAACTCTGCATTTGGTCCAGAAGGAAAAAGAATCATTGATGGCCCTTCTTTCTTCTCTCCATTCTCGTTCTCCTTGTTATTATCTGATGCATTGGATGTATGACCACTTGATGGACTGTTGCAAGACATACTGTTTACTGGAGTCACTTCACTCACTGGTGGGTTAAGCCTTTCACTAATTGGAATTAGAAATTAGATTTTCTAGCGACAAATTAACTAAAAAATGAAGTTAAACAGTTCACAATACTAATTCAAATTCGTGAAAATAGACAAAATCCCTAAAAATTATATCTTTTCAGTAGAATGAACAAAAACACAAACCCTTTTCGATTTTACACAACAAATGAAGGATATAAAAAAATTGAGGAACATTCTTAGGCAAATTGAAATTATTTACCTCATCAGAGTTATTAATTTGTTCAGATTCGCCAGCTGAAAGGTATGAGAGCTTATTTTCCTTTTTTTGCTTTTCTATGAGATCAGAAGAATAAGAAGTGTAAGAAAATCGGTATAAGATCTATATCATCAAATCAATAATCTTCGTTAGTTGGGCTAACTCTTTTCTTTTCTAGTTTCTAGTCATTGCATATATATATTAATGTTCAAACAACAATACAATAAGAAATTGAGAAATGATAGAAATTGTAACATGCAGGGGCGGAGCTAGGATTATATTGTACCAGGGTCATATATTAAAATAAATGTATGGAGAGAAGAGTTAAACTTGGGACAAGGGGGTCAAATGATAACATTTAAACTAAATAAGCCATTAAACACAATACAAATACATGTAAATTTTTTAATTTATCAAAGTAGTAGGGGTCAGCTGACCCCCTACCTCCTCACGTACATCCGCCCCTGGTAACATGACAGAAACAGAAAAATAAAAACAAATTGAAGATTTACCAAAAAGCTTGCACCTAAGAAGATTGCTAGCTCTAGTCAGTTGAAGAGATTTAGCATTGAAAGCGATCTTGATGAAACTGATAGATGTGAGAAACGAGAAAGATTGAGAGAAATCGAAGAAGGTAGAGAAAAGATTAGAGGCGGCGGCAGCGGCAGCAATAAGAAATAGAAAACCGAAGACCTCTTAAATAGTGAACAATGATAACAAACGACATAGTTTTGATTTAATGAAAGCTAAGAGATACTCTATTTCACTTAGAGTCTTTACTTTGCTTAACCACTTTGTTAATAGTTAGTTTCTTGAATCTCTTTACTTTTCTCCCCTATATTTTTTCTTCTTCATAAATGTCAAATATAATGAACTATAAGCTTATCAATACCTTCTCGAGTAAATTCATTGTGTCTTTAAGATTCAAGATGGAGTGTAGGATATTTCTATGCAAATTTGTTGATTGGTTCCCTAAATACCTTAAACCTAGATAAACTTGTCCATTTTATCAACAGTACGGGTACCTTGAATGGTCATTTTAAGGCCAAATACCTCTTCTGGTTTTGTAAGCCACTTCAAGGTAAGGGACAATATTGTCAGAATATTTTGCATCTATTGTAGTTCCACGATGGCATGCTTAAGAAGTAAAACATTACACACCGAATGGATTTGACTACGAAAAAAGAAAACTCGGATATATAACCTTGTAATTTTCTGCATCATTTCAAATGGACCAAAATGTTGAGATGCCAACTTCTTATTTTTGCGCATAACTATTGAAATTTGACGGTAGAGCCACAACTTCCAATTCACCATCTCTCCATTTGCAAACTCTAATTTCCTTGCTTATTAGCCAAATACTCAATTCGCTTTTGAACTTTGTACAAATTTTTCTTTTAGCCCTCCAGAATATTGTCTCTTTCTTGCAACATTTTATTCACACCCGCATTAGCAGTAAGAACATCATCATATTGCAATAGTTTTGAAAGATCTCATCCATACAAGTTTTTAAAACGAAGTGCTACCAAAAGGAAAATGAAAGGATGATTCATACCAAAAGTTAAGTTATGTTAGCCGTTTGACCCAAGATTAAAGACTTGTCGCCTACAAAACACCTTAAAGAAGTACAATATTGACTTTTTTATTTATTTGACATCAATAAATATTTACTGTAAATTATTGACTTTTACAACAGTAGATCATTTTTATTTTACCTTTTTCCAAAAAAATCCAAGTCTGCCCTTATATTGCAAGTCTGAACCTCTTCGATTACTTTCCGGTGAGAGTCTGAACAAACAAATTCGTCCTGAAGAACTAATTCACTAATAACAAATCCGGTTAGTTACTTTTTGATCCCAATTTTCGCTTACGTGCATTTGATTTATTTACGGATTGAGTCTCTGTTGATTCAGCCATTTTCATACAGAATGAAATCAAAATCTCCAATTTTTTTTTAAATCTAAATCGCAATCAGTGAACCGATTCCGTCTATTCTTACACAAATCGCTTATAATTTATCAATGCATGTTTTTAGGATTTGTTAACATTGTTGCAAAAAGCTTCGATCTTTTGGATATAAACTCATAGAGATTCAATCTTTTGATTTTGGTATTTCAGATATGAGTGATCCAATGCGAGAAATCGTTTCCGCTTTAGCAGCTAAGAACTCCGAACAAAAAAGTGTCTTGATTTCACTCGACATTGAAGATGACAAGATGTTCCTCTTACATTTCATCATCGGAACTTACTTCGGACCAGATTTGCAAAACCATCATCATCTCAAGAAGCAATCAGCATTTCAGATACGATCATCATCATCGAATCTCCCAACAAGAGATGAGCTAAAAGGCTCGCTCATGAAACGAGCTGAGCTAGAAACTGTGTATCACCACATTCTCAAGAACGCAGATCCATCTCTAACCGTAAAGCCCAGAACTTTACGCGATTACCTCAACGGAAAACGCGATTTCCCGGTTCTCGCCGATCTCTTTCCCCGGAAACTTCACCCTGAGAGCCGTATAGGGAATCAGCACAAGGTTATCAAAAGCATTTTGTTCATCAATGATCCAGATACTTCTTGTATGAGAAGAGATTGTGTGTCCCGGTTTAAGCTGCTTACCGGATTGCAGAGCTTTACTTTGAGCCTTCACGTTGATGTAACTGAAACCGTTAGCTCTGTTTCATCCAATGAGAGCTTGGAACCGTCAAAAGAAGAGAACACTGCTGAAGAAAACGATGCTGCTAACGTAGCCGGGGCGATATCTGAAGCTGAGGCTGGACCGGCGATGGGACTGATGGATATTGGTGAATGCGATGACGCTTATCTCTTCCGTATATCGCTTCCCGGTGTTAACAGAGACGAAAGTGAGCGACTTTCTTAACTGTTTGTCGCAGTTTGTTAAACCCATTTCTTGATTTGTGTAAATCTTGTTGTAGGAGATTTTAGCTGTGAAGTAGAAGACGATGGGAAGGTGCTAGTTAGAGGAGTCACTACAACAGGTGAGAAAGAAGTTTATCGTTATGGTCATTTGTTTGAGATGCAGACGCACAATCTCTGCCCGCCCGGTAACTTCTCTGTCTCGTTCCGACTCCCGGGTCCTGTTGAGCCGCAAGAGTTCACAGGCAGCTTTGGAACGGATGGGATTCTTGAAGGAATCGTAATGAAGAAGAAGTTGCAGAAACAAAATGTGTAAATCGTTTTGTAGGTTTTACGTTTGGTTTGGTTAAGTAGAGTTTGTGTAACCGTTTTGTTAAATAAAACCAAACTGAATAAACGATAAATTATTATCCATGATGAGACATAAAACATAAGTTCTTCTACTACAACAAACTTTCAAGTCTGATATTTTTTTGCTATTAGCATTCTTCTTCTTGTTTAGATCCACCAGAACGTTCTGCAGAAAACAAACAAACAAAAGTGAAAACCAAGTGATGTTTCAATGCCACTTATAAGCAGAGAGGAAACAAAGACTCACAATTTATTAATTATCAGGATTCTGTTGGTCAGGAGCTTGTTGTTGCCATAGCGGTTGACCCATATACGGGTTAGGCGGGTAAGCGCCCGGGTTACCCATAACCATACCCGGGTTACCGATCGGAGCTGTACCGGGAGGCAAGTAACCATAAGGGAAACCGGCTGCTGTGGCTGCTGCTTCAGCACCAACCGCACCCAAGACTTCATCACGGAGATCCTCACGAGGAACAATATCCACAAGGAAGTCGAAGATGTCAGTTCGGGTAACAGCGGCGGCGATATCGTTCTTCTGCAGCGTCCGCCTCTTGTTCTCCTCAGTGTGGTTCCACGACCTTAGTGTCAGCTCAAGGATGAACATCTCGCAGGCCCTTGCGAACACGACAGGTGCCTCTGCGGAGATCATCCTCACGTCTTCGTCAGCTTTCATGATCTTCTTGATTCTTGCTAATGGGAGGCTGTGGTTCTTGAAGTCGGTGGTTTTCTCAATCTCTTTGTACTGAGTCTCCCAGAAGGACTGGAGCTGTTGGGTTAGCTGCTGCTGTTGTTGCTGGTGGATCTGGTGGTACGCTGCGTGGTCTGGACCGGTTGGTGCAGTGGTCATGGCGTTGGTTTGGTATGGGTTTGAGCCGTAGTTCATCGCTGAGGATTGTCCTTGTTGATCCATTTCTCTGCCAAAAACAATAATCAAACAAACTTATTAACGCAAAAGGCCAACAACTTCACTAATTTCTCCATCAGATAATCATAATACGTATAGTCATCAATTAATGCGGATAATTAGAGCTATTTTATTATTCATTCTCAATACAAATTGAAAAGAAATTCGTTTTCTTTTCTCTGCTAATAATAATTTATGCTAAACCCAACACCAAACTACAAATTTTAATGGAAATCCAACTATTTATACTCTTCAAACAGATAAACAATCAGTAATTAAGGTGTTCAAGCCCTCAATCACAAGTAAAATAGAAGAAAATAACCCAGAAAATAATCGGAAAATTGAAGAGTAAAAGTCACCTGAAAGATAGATTTTCCGGGAGAATTAAGGAGAAATTGCGAACTGTAATCGAAATTTCCAGAGACCCTTTGATCGTGTAGAGAAAAAGAGTGTGGGGGGGGAAGACGAGAGATTTAAGATCTGGATTCAGAGAGTTTATCGCCTTTCTCTCGGATATAGGGTTTTTCTTTACCCTTCGAGAAATTTAATAAAGAGGAATCAGAAGACAGATGGCAAAAGGAGAAGGCTTTAAACGCTTGGCATACTTTCAATTTTTCAAATCTTAAAAAAAAAACACTTGAGATTATGGCAGCGGTGTATCTTTTTGTCGGTAGAAAGACACCTTTTTCAAAATATTGGGAAACTAAAAGCTTTATATAAAAATTAGGAGAACCCGCCTACGCGCGGGTTTAAATATTCAATAGTTTTTTGTTTACTTGTTTTTGTTCTTTCACATTTTACACATTGTCTGTAACTCTTTGTTATACAAATTAATATAGTTCATGCCAAATAAGGTTTTACAATACATATAAGCTTAACTATACCGATGTTAAAAATACAAAGGTTAACTCAACCACATTTGCTTCTCCAGGTCAACAGTGGGAAGATATTACTTGTTGCATAAACAAATTATAAACTTCAAATGGAGAGTCTTTAAAATGTATTAATAAAAGAAACAAACTGAAGAAACAGAGAAAATAAAAAAATGGTTAGATATCTTTTTATTCAAACCCATCCAACATGAGAAACAAATGCATTAGAAAACAATACCTTAAGAACAATAACAATCTTTGCTTAAACTTCCTTTCTGAAGAGCTATAGATTTTTAAGAAAATATCTGTCTATCTTTAAAATAAAGAATGGTATCCAATGGTGTCCGATTTAATCTGGATTTGAAGAAAAATGTGAGAAGTTTATTACCCTTATTGATAAGAAATAATATCTCTAAGTCGAAATGCATAAGATGTAACAATTAAGTAATAGTGTTGTTATGCCTCTCTGACTGCAGCACATACAGTGGAGGATACTGTGAGATTTCAGTAGATCTGATTGGATTAGTAGTGAGAACCCTACTGTTTTAATTGTTAGAACGATGGATTGTTTATTAGCAGAAAATAATAAGACAAAGAAAAGGCGTATGCAAAACCAAAATTTAGAGCTGCCCATGAGCCTAATTCTCATGGATTTTGCAGGGTATTAACCTCTAAAGGCTACTATAGATATCACAAGCCTATTTCTGAATTGTAAAACCAACACCTAATAAAAAAGAGCCCAATAGAGGATTAGCTCTCTTCTTGTCATTAAGACTTGCAACTCGAAAGTAAAGAAAATGGAAAAACGACCAATGAGAGATCATACACCTGCCTCTTTGAGTTGGTCATAGACTTGGCATTAGCATCAATTTCTTCATCATTTTCAGTTCTCTGTGTATTCAATGGTTTTCTCTTCTTTACAACAATTGTTTTGCTTACAACAGCTGCATTTTCTCTTTCCACGAGTCTTTATTCATTAGTACTTAGCAGCTAATTTACACTTCTTTATTCATCATTATCAAACGTGAATAAGAACGAATACATATGTAAGTGAGAAAGAATCGGGTTGAGACAGATGGCTGAAATGTGTTTGTTCCATAAGACAATTTATCTATTATAAGACCAAGTAAAATATTTATTATTAAACCTGAAAATATCCAACAGAAATTGTAAAAGAGCTATCAGTTTATGATGAAAGTAGAGTACTTACTTTTGTCGTGTCCATTCTGATCAGTGATCACTTCCTCTGATCCTCTTGGTCTTTACAGAAGGTGAGATGATCAATTTCTTGTTCCCAACTTCCAGCTATGAATACCCCAACTTTTTCAGATTAAGCATCCTTAAGAAAGGTAAACCATTTCATTCAATTCTTGTTTCATAAAACAGAGTAGCTAACAGATTCAAACCAAATCACAGTTTCTTCTGTCCTATTGAGGCAGAGAAAGTAAATTTGTAGATTCTAGATTGATACGTTACCGTAGTCTAGGGAATCTAGTGCTTGTCGGCAATCCGGATGACAACTTCGCAACATGTGTAGTTACTTATCCCTGCATACATATGAATGATACTAAGATTTTACTATCAATTATCCTAAAGCAGTGTATCTATCGCAGTAGTACTTTAGGTATCAATCCAATCAGGTGAGATGCTAGCAATCAGGATATGACAGAACTACTCAATTCAAGCCAAATCTATCAGGTGGTGGTGACAATGAATAAAAGAGATCGAGTGCAATAAGAATGCAATCGAGCTGAAGCAATAAAATGACGGAAATGAATATCAGAGAAAGATCAAGCTCCTAAGGATGGGGTAATCGACCTGTAACTACTCCTAACGTGATCTCGTCGCTTAACAAACCTCAAACACGGGCTAATCCCTCAACAACGAACTCGACAGACAAGATCAATTCGCTTTCACGAAAGAGATCAACAAACTAGTGAATTCTCAAGACCTAATCATCATTAGCGAAGAAAACACAAGCAAGCATTAAGTTCGGATTCGATAGAGTCGAAATACTCTCTAGACATCTAATCCCTTAGGCTAGAAAAGTAAATCTCTGGATCAGCTGGTTCAGACATCTCATCGAACGCCTCATGAGCGTGGAGATGTCTAAGATCCAGATCCAGTTGATCAGAAAGAATCTGGGATGAAGCTCACTAATCCAGAAGGGATCGATTTGACAAACAATACTTAAGCAACTCGATCACGCTAGGGTTCGCTACAGATCTATCCCATCCTCAGAAACTTAAACGAAACTACTCGCTAGAACTCATCATATACATTTCAGAATCAAAAGAGATAGAGTGCATAATCAAAGCGACAAAGAGATAGAATCGAAAACGCAAAGTACTTAGAACTCAAAAACAAATCTGAAAATACAACTCTGTTCGAATGTAAAAATGAAAGATAAGATAGTCATGGAGGCTGCACCTCTCCCTCTGGTTTTGATACTCGAAACAAACCTAGTGTTTTTAGAAAAATCGGGAAATAAAATAAAGAGGGAAAAGTTGGCCGAAACAAGCACTGGATCAGATCCCTTAATGGGCTGGATCGATCCCGTCAGAACGTGGGCCCTCTCGCTTGACTTTGACTCCGTCTCTCAGGTTTGACGTCGGCGCTACGGCGTTCATACTTCAGTCCAGCGTGACCTCATCGAGCTCGATCACAGCACTCGACCTCGCCCAATTCGATCACTTAATGTTTGATAGCGTCAACGCGACAACGTGTGCTCTGTCACTCCAGCTCCGTCACTCCAGGAAACACCTAAAACTGACACAAATGTACAAGATGCAACAATGCTAGTCCTAAATGCACTTAATGAGGAATATGAGTGGAGATGAGTGAAAACAATGCAAATGAACGGTTATGGATGCAGAAACATATACAATCGAGTGCCAAAAACCATGCAAAGTATGAACACATCAACACCCCCAAACTTAGTCTTTGCTTGCCCTCAAGCAAACAAGCGCGACCAAGTCATAGAGGTGAGGTTTGAAGGTGGGGGCTCAGAACCAAAACATGCCAATAAAGAGGATAAAATCAATGTCCTAGTTGCTAGTTCTGAGGCGCAAGGTGATAGAGTCAATCATAAAAATCTCAGTCAATCTCCTTAACATTCAATTACGAGTAACAGTGAATCGAGCTGTGCAACTAAATCGAACTCAATCGGCTAAGGGTAAGGCTTTTTAGAGACAGAGCACGAGTCTCACAGGTGGTTCAGTTCTTTTTAAAGCGATGGGGTTCTCTCAAAGAAAGGTTCGAGCTTTAGAAGAATGCTAAAGGTAAAGACCAACTGATGTGTACAAGAGATCGATCCCATCTACCCAGAAACAAAGGTAACATCCACTGAAACTTCAAAACCAGAACTGTTCCTAACTCTACCCCTTTTTCTTGAGACAGATCAGAACGAATTCGTTCTCTTCATTTTAAGGGTCTAAGGGAATAGCTTTCTTTTTCACTCGATGGCTGCAGCTCTATCTAGACTCGGTTCCTAATTTTTTTTTTTTTTTGGAATCGAACACTAACCTGTCTAGACACTCAAAGAGCTAAAACTGCCATACGCTAACACTTTTTCTAATTCCCTTAGACTCTAACTCTTTATTTTCTTTTCTGACTCTATCTCAATTCCCTCGACGTCAAAGATAGCTCGATCGAGCTCAACATATAACACCCCCAAACCTAGATCTAACTGACTCAGAAAGCGTGAGCCAGATCTATATGGGATTTCTCTCTTGTCGGTCCTAATCCTAACACTTTCTTCCAAGCTCAAACCTGAAAAAAGCCTACCACTCAGTAAATAATCAGGGCTTGAAAAGAAAGGTTGGCTAGAGGGCGTGGATACTGTTCCAAAAGTGGGAATCAGCTACCTGGATTAACAAGAATTACAAACAGATAGAAGCAAATCCAGATATGTATACAGTGACCATGAGCTCGATCTCGTTGCACAACAAGATAATTATCAATCAATTAAGTTCAGATAGATGGAGAATGACTTCAATTCACAATATGCGCTCAGACTCAATCGGTTATGCACTCAAAGAACTAACAACAAGGGCACTGAATTTTTCCACTTCATTAGCATGCTTACAAGGTTTTAATCATCACAGACCCCTATGCAAGTGCAACAGTTCTACATGAATGCCTAGACTCGATCTAATGATGCAATGCAATCTAAATGTTTTTTTTTTTTTTTTTTTTTTTTTAGAATGCATGCAAAGTTATAATACAGAAATAAAGAAAAAGAAGTCAAATACATCCTGAACCTCCCCCCCAAACTTGAATTACACAGTCCCTTGTGTAATAAAAGTCTAGTAAGAAGATTCAAGAAAGAAAAAGATAAACTAAAAATGGATTGTACAATGAGATAGAGTGCGAATGGACCTTCAGTAAGGGAACTGGAAAAGTGAGTCGGTCGCTTCCTGCATTGACTCCCGAGTGTATGGTGGAATTGTGGAGGAGCCAGCTGGTGCGGTCGTGTGCGGGACGTGGTGCTCAGTGGGACTCGAGTGCATCTCTGTGTAGTTGGGCGCGGTGGTGTGTGGCGCGTAATCGTCAGCCGCAACACTCGATGGCATCGCCATGTAATCGTCGTGGGTGGTCGGGCGTGGGACGGAGGAGGATCGCCGGAACAGGCGGTCAGCGTCCGTGCGTGTCTCTGACTGCCCGGCCGTCTGATGCTCGTGTGTGCGTCGCTTCCTCTCGCGCGACTCGTAGGAAGAGAATCGCGGCGGCTCGGTAGCGTGTCGGCGAGGGCCGGGGGAAACGGGATCGATCTCTTCGTCGGATAGATCGATCGGCTGCGGCTCGGTCGGTGGCGTGTTTCTCCGAGCTCCTCCAGAGGTCGAGGTGCAGCTGATCTTGTCCTGCATCGCTCGGATTTGGTCGCCCATCTTGTGGAACTTCTTCTTGAACGTGTTGATAACCTTGTCCTGAGCTTTGTTCCATCGCTGGAGCAGTCCTATGCGCTCGTGTGCGGCAATTAGTCCAACGCTCTGCCTCGATCCCATGAACTCCGTGAAGTGATACTGTTCGAACTCCTCCATCGGTTCAGTCGAGTCTGCTCGAGATGGTGCGCCGCGAGTTCGGGTAGTTGGCGGAGTCGTGTGATCGGCGGTCGCTGATGGGGCTGGAGTGGTCAAGCGCTGTAGAAGTGCTGACTCTGGCGGGTCGAAGTTGACGTTGGAGCCGCCTCTGATCGCAGTCCAAACCGGGTTGGGTAGAGGCATCCGAGAGTTCCCGAACTGCAGGTGGTTGAACTGATATATGAGCTTGCCGCCGTCGGGTGTCTTCTGCAAATAGTTGCAGTTGTTCAGGTATCGGAGATCGATCGATTCGGGCTCTGCAACTTCATCTGTCGCATTGGGAACGAATCCGATTGAGTGCAGTAGTGGTGTGACGAGTCCACCCATCCGTAGCTCGCAGTCTTCGCTCCTGCGGGCATTAGTGGTGGCCCATTTCTTGTAGGAGACGAGCTGCTCGATGAGAGCACGTGTGATCCCGCCGTTTGTGGCACTCCCCTTCAGCTTCTCTCCGTTGTTTAACCTCTTCAAGATCCCTGTGAGCGCTACATCGATCATGCTCAGCTCGCCCTTGTTGACGTTTCCGGTGATGGCCCTTGGATTGAGTACATTGGCGAGGCATTGATGTACTTGCATTTTACATAGTTTTAGCACATCTTTTATGCATCTTTTGCATAGTTTTAGCTTCCATTTGCATCATATCTTGTTCCTTTTCTCTTCTTATGCATTCATGTTAGTTTTAGGTTGCATTTGCATACATATGCATGTTTGGTCCTTTGAAATAGGTCTTTTGGAGCATTCTGGAGCATATGGGACATGAGGAGCATGGAGGGACTTGGCACATGGAAGCAGCTCAACTGGATACGCAAAGGAAGAAGGGAGAAGCCATCTTGAAGACCAGCTCGACCGTCCACTCGACCAACCGGTCGAGTTCCTCAACTCGACCGGCCAAGCTTCAACTCGATCGAGCTGGAAGTCAAAGTCAAACCCGAAAAATGTTGCTTCCCCCTTGACTTCCTTTGACCCTAAACCTAATCCTCTTGTATTTAAAGGCTCTAAGCCACGAAAAAACCACCAAGCTTTAGATTACTTTGTTTTAGCTTTCTTTAATTTTTGTCTTTTACTTTTTAGAACCTAATCCCATCTTTGTGTTCTTGAAGCTCTTGCTTCTTGAATCTTAGATCCTGGATAATCTCTCTTTGTATTTGCACTTGCTTATTTCAATAAAAGTTGTTTAATTTCATCTCCTCTTTCTTATGATGTCTCTTTTATTGCATTTGCTTGTGTTTACATTCATGTGTAGTGAGTAGTTACCCATTAGGGTTTGAGATGGGATAGATTAGAGGTTTCATATGCTTAATCCTTCTAGCTTATGGTCTTAATCTAGATTCTCTCTCTTTTGGATAGATCTTAAGGCTACATGACCACTACCCCTGGCTTGTAAGTCCTTAGGCGACTCCCCACACGAAGTGATGGCATTCGCTGGAAAAGATCCACTAAGAGCTCCAATATCTCTTGCTCTAGACAATAGAGGTCTAAGGGGTTGGATGGATTAGTTTGGGCAATGATCCTATAGCCTCCAAGGTTTGATTCTCACTGGCTAACCCCCTGTTTCTGAGATCATTCCTTGGTTGATAGCCTCCACCTTGGGAAAGGGTTGGCTAGGCATTGAGAAGCCCAATATCAAGAGAAGCCTTGATACAAGGAGTTTTAAGAGCTAGATTGATTAAGTGTAGATTCCTTTGATTGCAAAACCCTGTCTTGAACCCTAATTCTCTCTTTATCTTGTTAAAGTCGTCACCTTTACTTTTTGTCTCAACTCGACCCTAAACTCGATCGAGCTGGTACTCTGTTCCACTCGACTCGAGTCTTGGTCGAGCTGACTTACTGCTTTGTTTACTTTTATTGCACTGCTTTTCATTTTTAGGTTGTTAGTGTTACTTCAAATCTATAACTGCTTGCTTGACTTCTGGTTGTTTCATATTCTCATAGAGTGACAAGTTTCCCATTTTGGATTGATAACCTCTTATACTTCAATGACTATGATGGTTAAGAGGAATTGTTGACTGTGTTTGTGTTTGCATCTTACCACCATCATTACCACTGATTGCATTCCACCATCTCATTTCATTCTTTTCACATCCACACACAAATCCTTATCATCAGGCATTTGTGCAGGTATCGGATCGAGGGGTTGCGGATTTGAGCGGATTTGGCGGTCGAGGATTGGTAGTCTCCTGAAGCGATCACTTCCCACAATGCTCTCATCTCGTCTTTGTCCACAGTAAGTCCAGAACGGTTGTCTGGGGCGTAGGTAGTAGGCGCGATCGATATCCTGGAAGGAAAGATAGTATCTACCTCCCGACGCGACAAAAGTGATAGAGCCGTCGCTTCCATCTGGCGTGTGTTCGCCTTCCTTGCAGAGATAGAAGTCGAGTGAAGTTAGGAATTGGCAAGTTGCTTCCTTGTAGGATTCGTTCCTCTTTGACATGAGGACGCCAACTCCCAGGTTGTCGAACATCGCGTATACATCATCACTGATGCGTAGGCTCCCCATCGCTCCAGGGTCCGGGTATCGCGTGCCTGCGAACTTCATTTTGCGGAAGATACGAACGAGCACCTTCTCCTCGGTCGTCATCGGGTCGACGGGTTGCTCGTCTCTCAAGTCTCTTGGCGACTCGACGTCCTCCATTTCCTCGTCCAACTCAAAGTCATCTTCGGACTCGACGTGACGTTTGCCTCGCACTATCTCCGCTCTCCTGCGTGAAGAGTCGTCGCTGTTTCGTTGGTTCCTGAAAATCAGATGATATAACACAAGTCAGAGCAGTCCAGGAACTCGATCGATTCGTTGAACGGACTCGATCGAGCTCAACGAAAAACGAGTTAATACGCAACACTATCGGCTTAATTGATGAACGGACGAGACAACACAACCGATTTCAGCCAAACCCAAGATATCAAGCATGCAATTCGATTCAATTCAGCTCGATTTCCCCAAATTTAATCAACTCATCGCAAAAACACAATCCGGTAAATCGAACAAATATGGCAGTGAAAATCAAGTGTGACGACCTAATGAGAGGACCGAATTAAACGAATTCGATTCATGGGTTGTGTATGCGGTCGAGTTAAACGATTATAGCACAAGAGAATCGCAGCAAATTTGCAGGAAAATTACCCAGAATTCGCGAAGAGTTAGGGTTCGAGTTCATACCTTTGGCTGCTTCTCATGATCGATCGATTGACAAGAGATAATATGCAAAGAAGAAGATCATGCTATCGAGGGATCAAGCGGAGAAGATGAAACGATTTGTCAAGTGAGAGAGAGAGTGATATGGGGCTGAGTTTCAGGAAACAAAAGGAGGGAGGAGAGGGGAGATAAGAGGGATAGTGGGTGGGGAGTTAGGTGAGGTGAGATGGTGGGTAGGTGAGAGAAAGAAAAACGTGTTTTCTCACCCCTTTTTTTTTTTTTTTTTTTTTTTTTTTTCGAAAATCAGAATACTTACCTTGGCCGGGCTCGATCTTGTGGTCGAGTGACTCGATCGAGCTTGGCGTTTGTTCCTTTCGGCTTTGTGCTCGACCCCCGTTATGTGACCTGTCAGCCAAAAACACTAGAAAACAAATTAAAAATAACTGGAAACAAACTTCTATATACAGGATAGACATGGGATTTCCTCCCAAGTGAGCTTGTTTTAAGTCACTAAGCTTGACTTCCCTCATTCATCAGGCTTGGGGTGGCTCAGCGAGAGGAATCGATGTCCCCTCTGGGATTGCGTAGTCTCCAAGATGGAGCTTAACCCTTTGCCCGTTGACTGTGAATGGGGTCCTTTCCTTGTTGAACAGAGTGACCGCCCCAAAAGGTGATACCTCTTTGACATTGAAGGGTCCAGACCACCTCGACTTCAGTTTCCCAGGAAACAGCTTTAGGCGAGAGTTAAACAGCAGCACTCGATCGCCTTCCTTCAAGTCCTTTCGAATGATCTTTTTGTCGTGGAATGCCTTGGTTCTCTCCTTGTAGATCTTAGAACTTTCGTAGGCATCCAACCTTATCTCCTCGAGCTCTCTCTTCTCCTGGGAGGTCTTGAGATCAAAATTCAGCAGCTTCGTCGCCCAGAGGGCTCTGTACTCCACTTCAACAGGGAGGTGGCACGACTTTCCGTACAACAACTGAAATGGTGTCCTCCCAATAGGCGTCTTGAAAGCCGTCCTATATGCCCATAGTGAGTCATCGAGCTTGATCGCCCAGTCTCTGGTCGAGCTGCTGACAACTTTGTGTAAGATCGCCTTGATCTGTTTGTTGGACACTTCGACCTGTCCTGATGTCTGGGGGTGATACGGCGTTGCCACCTTATGTTTCACTCCATACTTCTTCAGAAGACCAGCAAAGATCTTGTTGATGAAGTGGCTCCCCCCGTCGCTAATCACAACTCTCGGGATTCCGTATCTAGGAAAGATGACGGATTTGAACAGCTTGAGCACTGGCTTGTGATCGTTGGCAGGGCACGCGATCGCTTCAACCCACTTGGACACGTAATCGACCGCAACCAGAATGTAGCGGTTCCCGTGAGATGACGGGTCGAATGGTCCCATGAAATCGATCCCCCAAACGTCGAAGACTTCGACTTCCAAAATCGGGTTCTGTGGCATCTCGTTTCTCCTGGAGATATTGCCCATTCTCTGACAAGGATCACACTTGGAGATGAAGCTGTGTGCATCCTTAAATAGATTCGGCCACCAGAGCCCAGATTGGAGAACTTTCTGCGCTGTCTTGAATACCGCGAAGTGACCGCCGTAGGTAGAACCGTGGAAGTGCTCTAGAACTCCGCTGACTTCCTCCTCTGCGATGCATCGCCTGAACAAACCATCAGATCCCCTCTTGTACAGATACGGTTCATCCCTGAAGTACAGTGAAGCATCCCTGAGTAGCTTCTTCCTCTTGTATGCGTCCAGATCCTTCGGAATTTGCTTGTGCACCAGATAGTTCACAATGTCAACGTACCAGGGGAACTTCTCGTCGTTTAATGAACAGACTCGATCGAGCTCAACTGCTTCGAGGACCCTGACTGACATCAATTGTTCTTCAGGCATCGAGTCGTCTAACGGCACTAGATCTTCCACTCTCATCCGGCTCAGGTGATCCGCCACACCGTTGTCAACTCCTTTCTTATCTTTGATCTCGAGATCGAACTCCTGTAACAGCAAGATCCAGCGCAGCAGCCTCGGTTTGGCATCCTTCTTCGCCATCAAATATCTCAAAGCAGCGTGATCGGTGTGAACGATCACTTTAGATCCAACCAAGTAGCTCCTGAATTTCTCGAACGCAAACACTACTGCGAGGAGCTCTTTCTCTGTTGTCGCATATCGGCTCTGAGCGTCATCCAAGGTCCTGCTAGCGTAGGAGCTCTTTCTCAATTTTCTGTCCCAACACGGCTCCAACGGCGTAGTCGGATGCGTCACACATGATCTCAAACGGGTGATCCCAGTCAGGAGCTTGAACGACCGGTGCAGAGACGAGGGCCTCCTTGATGAGCTCGAACGCTTCCAAACAGTCAGCGTCGAAAGCGAACTCGACCTCCTTGCACAACAATCTGGTCAGAGGTCGCGCGATCTTTGAGAAGTCTTTGATAAACCTCCTGTAAAATCCAGCGTGACCGAGGAAGCTTCTGATATCCTTGACCGTCTTAGGCGGCTGTAGCTGCATCATGACCTCGATCCCATTCGCAGATATCTTGTGACCCAGCACTATCCCTTCCTTGACCATGAAGTGACACTTCTCCCAGTTCAGCACCAGATTGGTCTCTTCACACCTAGATAGCACCCTGCACAAGTTAAACAAACATGAGGAGAAGGAGGAGCCATAGACTGAGAAATCGTCCATGAAGACTTCCACCATCTCCTCGATCAGATCCGAAAATATAGAGGTCATACACCTCTGAAAAGTAGCAGGTGCATTGCAAAGACCAAAAGGCATCCTCTTATATGCAAATGTTCCATAAGGGCAAGTGAAGGTGATTTTTTCTTGATCATTAGGATGAATTGGGATTTGAAAGAACCCAGAATAACCATCAAGAAAACAGTAGTAATGATGATTAGCTAATCTTTCAAGCATTTGATCAATGAATGGCAATGGGAAGTGATCTTTCCTAGATGCAGCATTCAATTTCCTGTAATCTATGCACATCCTATGTCCTGTTATAGTTCGAGTTGGTATCAATTCATCCTTATCATTCTTAATCACAGTCATGCCACCTTTCTTAGGAACACAGTGCACTGGTGAGACCCAAGTACTATCAGAGATAGGATAGATCACACCAGCGTCAAGCAGTTTAAGAATCTCCTTTTTAACTACTTCTTTCAAGTTAGGATTCAATCTCCTCTGTGGTTCAATGCTAGAGATCGATTCGTTTTCAAGGTGAATCCTATGTGTGCACAGAGTGGGTGAAATTCCTTTAATGTCATCAGTGAATAACCTATAGCTCTCCTAAACTTCCTCAATTCAATCAAGAGCGAATCTAGCTCATCAGCACTAAGCGAATCATTCACAATCACAGGATAGGTCGAGTTAGAGCCTAGAAATGCGTACCTGAGCCCTTTCGGTAAGGGTTTGAGGTCGACCTTGGGAGCTTTGAGCTCGGACCAGTCTCTGCTCTGGAGTGTGCGGGCTCGATCGAGCTCTGTGGTTGAGCATGAACTGGATCTGTCGTCTCCATTGCCATGATAGCTGCACTCGATCCAACCATCTCCTCGAACACTTCTGCTCCTTTCACTGCTTTGTGAGAGTCCAGCAACTTCTCATAACAGCCGGTGTCTTCGTGGAGGTATCCGTCTTCACCCCTCTTAGTCAGAGCTGTCTGCAGGTGATCTTCGACAACTAGCTCCTCCAATAGCTCGTCAGCCAGCTTGTCCATCATCTCGATGTAAAACACTTGACCATCGATCGTCGGCCGTCTCATCGAGTCCTTGATATCGAACCTCATACTCAGGTCGTCTCCCAAATTCAGATCGATCATGCCTTTCCTCACGTCAATAACAGCTCCAGCTGTAGCCAAGAAAGTCTCCCAAGATGAGAGGGTCCTTCGGCTCTTCGTCCATCTCCAGAACTACAAAGTCCGTTGGGACATCCACGCTACCAACTCGAACAGGTAGATCCTCTAGAATGCCGTGGGGAATCCGAACGCTTCTGTCTGCCAGGATAAGAGAGATCTGGCAAGCCTTGTACCTAGTGAATCCCAGTTTCTTCGCAACTGACAGAGGCATCAAGCTGATCGAGGCGCCTAGATCGCACAGACTGTTGCTGAAAGATAGTGGACCGATCGAGCATGGAAGCGTGAACGATCCTGGGTCTTCCAACTTCTTAGGGATCGATTTGCTCTGGATAATGGCGCTGCATTCGTGACTCAGAACAACCATCCCTTGTACTTCCTTGTTCTTTCCAGAATCGCATCCTTCAGGAATTTCTGATATGGTGGGATCAGCATGAAGGCGTCCAGTAACGGCATCTTCACCTCGATCTCAGCCATCTGCTTATCGAACAAAGCTTTGTACTGCTCAGTCAACTGCTTCTTGAATCACTCGGAAAGGGCATCGGTGGCTTGTAAGGAGGGGGAACAAAAGCACTCTCCTTTTCCTTCGAAACAGGTGGTTTCACAGCCTCTGTAGGTTGAGCGGTCTCGCTTGCTCGAACTCGATCGAGCTCCTCTATTGGCGTGGTATTCTCGGCTGGGACCTCGTCCTCAACTGAAACTTCATCGGAAACCAACTCCTGCCCCTCTTGAGCATTGCTGGCCTCAGTGATGCTAGATTGAACTTTTGGGTCCGGTAGCGCTTTCCCACTTCTCAGTGTGATGGCGCTGATCGAGTGCGTATACTCCTTCGGGTTCTGAACAGACTTTCCAGGGAGCTGTCCAGTGGGTTTGGCCGCAGAAGTCGAAATGCGATTGCTTTCGATGAATTGGACTCTCGCGTTCAGTGCTTCGAGCTTGGAGTTGAGCTCATTGTAGGTGCCATCGAGCTTGTGGTGAATCTCCGCAAATTTCTTACTGACGTCCATTGCTCCAGTAGCTTGGCCTTGCAGAACTTTCTGAAGCATTGTCTTCACGTCGATCTCAGTGGCTGGTGGACCACTCGATTGCGTCTGAGACTGAAATCCTGGTGGTGCTCCGTATGCCTGCTTCTGGGGATATCCTCCCTGATACTGCTGCCGTGGGTAAGGAGCGAAGTTCTTAGCTGGAGCATGCTGCTGTTGAGGGTAGACTTGGTCCTACGGATTGGCCATGTTGGTGCTTCGGTAAGATAGATTGGAGTTTGGTTTGTATGGGACAAACGCCTTTGTGTAGCCTCCCAGGTTTTGCATGTAGTAGATCTCCTCTGTGGAGGGATCGGTCTCCCCTTCCTGAATCAGGTATTCGTTCTCCTCTGTGACGAAGTGAACTTGCTTCTGCTGAGCCAGCAAAAGCTTGTCGAGCTTCTCGTTTAGGGCCTTCATCTCCTTGCGGTGCTTCTCGTCGGACTTGATCGAGCCCCTCTGAGTTCGGTCGTGGTCCTCATTATAGTTCCCGTCCGATTGTGCCAGATTCTCAACTAGTTCCCAACCTTCTTGAACATCCTTGTTGAGGAAATTTCCGTTGCTTGCTGTATCAAGCTGTCGTTTGATGCTGGGCTGCACACCTCTGTAGAGCGTGCTGAGAAGAGACTCCATGCTAAATCCATGGTGAGGACACTGGGTGGTGTAGTTCTTGAAGCGCTCCCAAGCTTCGGAGAACGTTTCTCCATTCTTCTGAACGAATCCAGAGATGTCGTTCCTAAGCTTGGCGGTTCTGGAGGGAGATAAAAACTTGGCAAGGAAGGCTTTCTTGCAGTCGTTCCAGGAAGTGATCGAGCCGTGAGGTAGATTCTTCTCCCACCGATGCGCTTTGTCCCCGAGAGAGAATGGGAACAAGCGCAGCTTGAAAGCGTCCTCAGTAACTCCATTGATCTTGGTGAGGCCACAAAGTCGATCGAACTCATCCAGGTGCTCGAGCGGGTTTTCAACAGGGAGTCCATGAAACTTGTTGTTTTGAATCATGGAGATTAGACTGGACTTGATCTCGAAATTGTTGTTCGCCACAGCTGGAGGAACGATTCCATGTCTCTGAGCGTGAGTGTTCGGTTCATCACCGGCTCCAATGCATCGTGCTACTCTCTGGAGTGGTGGTGGGGCGTTGTTCTGCACATGTTCGCCTGGCGGTGCTCGATTCTGCGGGTTCAGATTCTGAGGGTTGGGTGGGTTCGGCGGGTCCTTGTCGACTCGATTCGGCTGATTACGGGGTGGTCTTCTCCTTTGTAACTTGTTGATGTTCGGGTTGAGCGGGATCAAATTCTTATCCTTACACGATCGAGTGTGGTGCATGCAAGGTCAGAATCGATCTTGTGTACCTGAGAAAATCAAAAACAAGCAGGAGAAGAAGGTAATCAGTAATGATGAAAATAGTTAAACGAACTTGATCTCAAGTTTTTCTGAGATCCTGAATGTAACAATCAAACACCCAAATGGCAACGGCGCCAAATTGATACTAAGATTTTACTATCAATTATCCTAAAGCAGTGTATCTATCGCAATAGTACTTTAGGTATCAATCCAATCAGGTGGGATGCTAGCAATCAGGATATGACAGAGCTACTCAATTCAAGCCAAATCTATCAGGTGGTGGTGACAATGAATAAAAGAGATCGAGTGCAATAAGAATGCAATCGAGCTGAAGCAATAAAATGACGGAAATGAATATCAGAGAAAGATCAAGCTCCTAAGGATGGGGTAATCGACCTGTAACTACTCCTAACGTGATCTCGTCGCTTAACAAACCTCAAACACGGGCTAATCCCTCAACAACGAACTCGACAGACAAGATCAATTCGCTTTCACGAAAGAGATCAACAAACTAGTGAATTCTCAAGACCTAATCATCATTAGCGAAGAAAACACAAGCAAGCATTAAGTTCGGATTCGATAGAGTCGAAATACTCTCTAGACATCTAATCCCTTAGGCTAGAACAGTAAATCTCTGGATCAGCTGGTTCAGACATCTCATCGAACGCCTCATGAGCGTGGAGATGTCTAAGATCCAGATCCAGTTGATCAGAAAGAATCTGGGATGAAGCTCACTAATCCAGAAGGGATCGATTTGACAAACAATACTTAAGCAACTCGATCACGCTAGGGTTCGCTACAGATCTATCCCATCCTCAGAAACTTAAACGAAACTACTCGCTAGAACTCATCATACACATTTCAGAATCAAAAGAGATAGAGTGCATAATCAAAGCGACAAAGAGATAGAATCGAAAACGCAAAGTACTTAGAACTCAAAAACAAATCTGAAAATACAACTCTGTTCGAATGTAAAAATGAAAGATGAAAGATAAGATAATGGAGGCTGCACCTCTCCCTCTGGTTTTGATACTCGAAAACCTAGTGTTTTAGAAAAATCGGGAAATAAAATAAAAGAGGGAAAAGTTGGCCGAAACAAGCACTGGGTCAGATCCCTTAATGGGCTGGATCGATCCCGTCAGAACGTGGGCCCTCTCGCTTGACTTTGACTCCGTCTCTCAGGTTTGACGTCGGCGCTACGGCGTTCATACTTCAGTCCAGCGTGACCTCATCGAGCTCGATCACAGCACTCGACCTCGTCCAATTCGATCACTTGATGTTTGATAGCGTCAACGCGACCACGTGTGCTCTGTCACTCCAGCTCCGTCACTCCAGGAAACACCTAAAACTGACACAAATGTACAAGATGCAACAATGCTAGTCCTAAATGCACTAAATGCGGAATATGAGTGGAGATGAGTGAAAACGAATGCAAATGAACGGTTATGGATGCAAAAACATATACAATCGAGTGCCAAAAACCATGCAAAGTATGAACACATCAATGAACGAAATTGTTCCATCACAATCATTTTTCTTTCAGGTAAGATAGTACTTTGTGCTTCCTAATTAGGTCAGACATCCATAAGAATCAAGCGGAATAGCACATTCAGAAAAAAGATATATAAAAGCAAAATCAGAGAGACAGAGAGACCAGGAAAGCCAAAGTAAGATCTAGCAATCACAAACATGGGTAGCGAGAAGCGTGAAACTAAACCAAGCTGAAGTAATGACTTATTTCAGAAAGAATAATCAACCTAAATCGAGTTAGGATTCCTCAATTTCTTAACAGTAATCGGATGCAAACATAATCAAATCTCCTGAAAAAGAATCAACAATCCGCGGGTGAGAAATTGAGGGAAAGGCAGGATCAGATCAGTACCTGGCCGATGTGAATAGCGGATCAGCGGTGCGAGCGCAAGTAGGTCTTTAGGATGGGGCTTGGAGAGCCGATTGCAGATCTGCGGGTTACAGATGGATCTTAAAAAATCAATCCCATAGTATAATCGAGCAAGGAATTGTTGGTGAAGCTCCAACAAGCTCTCCTCTCACAGCGGAAGCGCTAGCAATACGAGAAGCTCTCATCCAAGCACGCACCAGAGACCGGACAAACCTTTGGGTGAAATCGGATTCCCAAACGCTCATTAGTGCTATCCAAGGTTGAGACTAGATTGTTGAAATATATGGAATCTTCCAAGTTATCCATCAATTAGCATCTGGTTTTTGTCCCGATCTCATTCTGTTACATATCAAGGACTTCCAATTCGTTGGCTGATTCATTCGCAAAAAACGCACTATCTTTGTTTTGAGGCTTTTATTTTGAATGAAAGGATGTTCAAAAAAAAAAAAAAAAAATAGGCATTTTCTGATTTATTTATCCATACACATACATAAGCAACAAGAATCTCAACTTAACAAAAGAATATTTAACTGTAAAAAAAAAAGAGATTCATTGCACAACATCATCATAAGACAAGCTTTCTCTACGGCTGTGAATCCGAGAAGAAACAGAACTTTGGTTGTAGGCTTTAACAAGAGGAATAAGCGAGTGAACAACATCAGTCATCAGTGGTCTGTAATCTGGTTCTGGTTGCACACACATTGCCGCTATGGCTGCTACCTGAGAAAAAGTGTCAAAGTGTCTAATGTAAAAATACATACAAATAAAAATATAATGTAAAAATTATATTAAAAAATGATGTAATATAAAAATACAGGCAACACACATATATACAAATAAAAGTAAATGTCAAAATCTGATTATATATAAACATTTAATTATTAATTAATATATATATTTGTCAAACATGTTTTTGCGCCTGGTCAAAATTAGTAGTGTGCCAAAAATATGATCTGCCAGTAGTAATGTGCATGTCCTATGATTCAATTGAGTTGCAACATTGAGTCTACCCGATTATAGAAATCTCTTGATAAAAAAAAAAATACATTAGTCGTCATATGGGAATGTTTATATGATTAGTAAAAAGATTATTTCTTTTTCCCCAAAATTCCCTATATTCTTTGTCCTAAGTTGTACAAAGAAAAAAACCCGTAGACCACAATGCAAAATAAAAAAACAAAGTGATGAAGTAATACCTGAATAAGATCCTTCAGTGAATATTGGCCCTCAATGGTTGGATCCACCATTTCACTAACTTTCTCTCTGTTGGTTAGCCTTGGAAGAGCCTGGAATTATATGCCACAGTTCACTATTAATCTACTTTGGACTTTTTATATACCTTATTTTCGTAGAAGTCTATAAGAATATCAAATTCTTAATTTTCTATCCAGGAATGAATTACGATTTACTTACCCAAGAAACTAGGACATCTTGTCCCGAGGGACGCCTTGAGTCGATTGGTTTATGACCCGTTAATAGTTGCAATAAAACTATTCCATAACTGTAAACATCTGATTTTGTGGTAAGCTTTCCGGTAGAAGCGTACCTATCTCAACCAAATAAAAAATTATATGGTTATATATGACCTTTTAAGAGAATTTGAAATAATCATAATCTCTTAAGTTTATAATTGACTTTTTAAGAGCATTCAATTTGTAGTCCATATTTAGGTGACATATGTATGATATTTTGGCTAATGGACCATCCCTATAAGTTGATTTGTTTTCTTATCATTTTAACAATGAATTTCTTGTAAAATTATGACAACAATGCGACAAGAATGAAGTGTTACTTACTCTGGGGCAAGATATCCAGTGGTCCCAAGCACCCTTGTTGAAACCTGACCGTTTAGTTTATCAGAACCAGTCTTTGCCAATCCAAAATCTGAAACTTTAGCTCGATTATCTTGATCCAATAAAATGTTGGTACACTTGAAGTCACGGTGGATCACAGCGGTGACTGCATTCTCGTGGAGAAACTCTAGTGCTCGAGCGCAATCGAGGGCGATCCTAAGCCGGGTTCCCCAATCCAATGGTTGAGATTCATCCTTCACATTCTTACAATTATGACCGTGAAGATGTTGTTCGAGTGTACCGTTGGGCATATATTCAAATATCAGGATCCTATGGTTTTGATCTGCACAATATCCAACTAACTCGACCACATATGGGCATTGTAATCGACTAAGAAGATCAACCTGCACAATTAGAGATTATGAGCCTATTGTTTACTATAACTAACATTTATTAAGTATATTACATTAAAAAACATATACATTAAAGACATACTTTTTGTTTAGTGTTGAAATACACATAAAAACTCCAAATAAAGATGCTCTTAGGACTGGACTTCCTTTTGGGTTCTGGGTTGGGGACCAAATACATTTGTTTGCTTAATGTATGCCAAATGCACATCCATAAAAATGATTGAAGAAACTGGCTTTATGTACATTCTTTTACTCTATTGTAACTGTAGACTACATATTCTTAATATGTATGAATCCAAATACTATAAATCGTTATTAAAAATACGAGTTGAGTGTATTTAACTATAGAGGTATGCGTGATATGGTGACTCGTGAACCACCTACTTGGTGTAAAGAAAAATGTCAAAGTCTCACAGCTTTAAAATGGCTCACTCTCAACTGTTATTTATTAAAACTATTAATATAGATAACTATGCATTTGTTTTTAGATTTACACACACATATATATATACATATATATTTTTGTTAAAGGGTTTAGATATTTTCTAATTTTGTTACTATATTTGTCTCAAAATATGTAGAATATTGAATAAAATATATAGATATTATAACGTATTTGTTGATAAACATGGAGACAATAAATAAGCACAAAAAGTAGATAAGAAAGGATAACAATAAATGAAGTGAGAACAACTAACCTCAAGCCTAAAAGAGCGATCTTCATGCTTTTGGTTACTACCATTATGATTAAGCATATGAAGCTTTTTAATGGCCGCAACAGTTCCATCATTCAATACTCCTTTGTACACATCTCCATATTCACCGCCTCCTATCTTCCTGTCTTCACTAAAATTATTTGTTGCAATCTCTAATTCC